CTTTTTGCAGGATTTTTGTGTAAATTTGACCGACTGCCGTTACTCTGCCCGATTTTCGTACGATTTCTGATTTGGTTGAAATTGATAGATTGAATTGATATGCGTATAACTATTGATATGATCATTTTCGTTTTCTTTCTTATGGATTATTGTATCGATTATTGCATTGACTGATTGATACTGAAAGACAAGTGGGAACCTGGTTGAACGTTGGTTGGAGATAGATATTGACCTGTACAGGATGGTGGGCCGACGGGCTTTCCTTTAAATCATAGACCATAGATCATCGATATAACGATTGGGAGTTATAAGGAGTTTTATATGCCGACGGGCAAAAGAGTGACGACTCTTCTTGATAGAACCAACGTGCGGATATCTACAACAGCAATATAGATTCTACAACAGCACTATTGATCATGACTAGTGTTTGTGCTTGTCGAGTAAGACCATTGTATGGAATTGCATGTGCATCATATGGATTTCCTGATATGCATTGATTTATTGATTTGATGGATTTATCGAAATCAAATAAAAAGAGAAAGAAATTTCTGTATTTTTGTCGTTGTCATCGTTGTCACCTTAACACAACTTTTGTCCTCATCACGAATGTATAATGTTCTTCATGGCGTGGTGGGATGGAGCCCGGTGTGGTGCTTACGACGAGGTAGGTAGGCCTTGTACACACTCTTTGTAGTGTGGCGAGGACAATCCTAAGTACCTGTGTATGTGTCATCATGCTTGCGGGGAAAAATTGTGTTTTCAAATAGGTACCTCAAAGACTCGACGCGCTCTTCATAGCGTGGTGAGATTAAAGAACCACGACCATAGTGTCGCATGATACCTACCATACACATTCTTCATAGAGTGGTGGGAAGGCCTAGCTCCCCAAATTTCTCTCCAAAATGAGAGAGATGTCAGGAGGCTACTAAAATTCATATTGAAATGCACATAACTTGAACAAATACAGGGGACATGGACTTAAGAAAAACGTAGGGAACTGAGCATATGCAATGGAACACAAGGAACAGAACTTGCAATCACAGAGAACTGGACCTAATTTAATGTTCTAAAAATAAACAAAAAATCAAGTATAATATGCAAAATTAAATGAACTTATAATGAGCAAAATAACTTCCCTATGAATGTGAATATGCAACATACATTGAGCATGATGATTCGACTTTAAATGTATACAGGAGACTTGTAGTGAGCATAATAACTTGCCTACGGGCGCACGTTGACATGCAAATGCCTTACGCACTACATGAAGGCGCTAAATTTTTATGCAAATGCATTATGCCAACATGCATGCAACACATAATTACATCATGCATGCATACATGCTAATACATGATACGCCACATCAATACGCTAAGCCACTACACAAGGTGTCATGCAAGCATGTTGAATAGTGCGTAAACATGTATATTTTTGCTTTAAATATTTTGGTGATTTATTTGAAATTTAAAGAATGAAATTCTCATTCATTACGACCTAGCCAAGTCACCCAGCGCCAGCGTTCGTGTCCGTGAGTTGCGACTGTTCGCGTGTTCTCGGGTCGGGTCGGGTCAACCCGTTAACCCGGGCGGGTCGGGTCCGGGTTTACAATCCTGACCCGTTTAGCTAAACAGGTCGTGTTCGGGTCAATCTGTTTATGCTCGGGTCAACTCGGTCTGATCCGAACTTGACCCGTCAACCCGAATTGACACCCCTAATTTTATAGTAATGAATTGTTCTTGAAGTTTTGCAGGTTATAATTTCATCTACTAAAAGAGGCTCGATACTATTATTTATATGTATATGTAAAGTATTCATACTTTACAATGAATACTTTACAAACTTCATTGTTTTCTCTATTATGAGTACCAAACAATCTTATAGACAAAGTTTAGAGAGAGAGAGAGAGAGAGAGAGAGAGAGAGAGAGAGAGGAGAATGTGTTAGATTTCCATATATTCATTTAGAAGAATGTCACAGCTTTAAACATCCATCGTAAATTTGAAGTGTTAAGATTCCTATCAGTAAAAGGCAAAAGAAGTAATTATATTTTGCCTTTTAAGTACTTTTAATTTTAACAGATTAAGATTTGTGTTGGATAGTGAATGATGTGAGAGGATAACTGGTTTTATCTTTTCAAATATAGAATATTATAAATGTATCTTTATATTTTAGTTAGATAGTTAACAGTGAATGTTGGCAAGCTTTGTGGATGAAGATCTTGGAAGTTTTTGCTAAGGTATTAGATCTGATACATCACCAGAAATCATCTTGATCGAACACGAATCTCAAAACATATATGAATTGACAACTTTCAAAATTAACCCTACTAAGCAAAAATACACATTTTAAATAAATAACCAAATTATCAAAGATTGTGTAAAACAATATTTTTAGACTTTTATCGTACTACAACAGTATTTTTCAGCATCCAGATAATTTTTTATTTAAAAAAATACAAGTTTCAAAACCTCCATCATAAAATTTTCAAAAAAAAAATTCAAAATGTTCAATAATATTAATCTTTATAGCATATAAAAAATTACTCGGTGAAAGTTTTAGCACACAAAGGTATTCACATTTTTTTTTAATTAGAAAAAAAAATTGAAAAATTAGGTAAAAATTATATATATATATAATTAAGATGGACATAATATGACATACATCAATCCGAACATGTTTCTTAACTGGGCCGATAAATCCTAAACTCTAAACCCGGCTGAAAATAACCCAAAGCGGCTCAAAAATCCTTTTCTTGCTCTCCAAATCCTTTTCTTGCGGTTTTTTTCAATCGGGTCAGAACAGGTCGATCCAGATGCCGAACCTGGAGGTCATTATATTCCCTCCAAAAAGAAAAAAGTGCTAACCAATTTATGTTCGTTTTAGATATTGGTTACCCAATTATCATTATTATTTTCATCATTTGAACACGACAATAGAGTGTGAGCTTATTATCTTAGTATAGCATGAAAATTCAACACACAGACATGAGTAGATTGTCACTAACAAGAAACATAATAAATTTTGCATGAAAATTTTTGGCGAGGAAAAACCTGTTTAAGTAGCTTTGACTATTTATATTTAAAATTATAACGTACCTTTCTCTATCATGTATAAGGCACTGAATGCTGGTGTAAGTCAGTATAAAAAACATAGAGGCAAAAACCTGGAAAATTTTCAATTAAAATACTTTTTAGGCTGATTTTCCTCACATAATGACTTATTAAAATCAAAATCAAAGTTATTTTACTGATTCAGCTAGCAAAGCATGTCGAATTACTGTTTAGAAAGACAACCAATCTCGGATATAAGATGTAATAAAAAGATTCAATTGAACATTAATCGAGTATAAATCATACAAAAAAAAAATTTCCTCACAGATTTATACAAAGAATCGGCAGCAAATCATCCGAAATTTTCGGAGAAGAGAAGGTCAACTGCAGAGCTGGGAGCAGAGTTCTTTAATCCTATCACTGGTTGCATTCGGTAAGGAGTAGGAATGGCTTCTGTCGCTACCACCTTCACATGTCAAGTTCAACTGGCTCCCTTCTTGAGATGCCTACAAGAAAGTAAGAAAATCCTGTGAAAAATGAAGCAATCTGACAAATTTCCAGAGTAACTTTAGCTTCAGTGCACGTAGTAAATATGTATTTACAAAGTTTGAATTTCATTTGCACCATTAGATTCCCAAAAATGTTAGAAATTTACAAAGTTTGAATTTCATTTGCACCATTAGATTCCCAAAAATGTTAGAAATTAAGTTTTCTTTTGAATATGTTTACAAATTGCAGATTTCATTTGCAGCAAGAGATGCATCTCCTAAGCTTTGAAATATATATTTCGACTTTGTTTGGGACGGCTTTTTTACTGCTTCTTAAAATGGCTTTTTAGTACAAAAATTAAAATTTTTATACAAGAAAGTTATTTTAAGAAGCAGTAAAAAAGCTGTCACAAACGAAGTCTTCATCTGTAGCAAGAAATAGAACCAAAAAAATTTTTGAAATGCAGATTTCATCTTCAAGGCTGGACAAAATGCTTGTACTTAAAAGTAATTTTGCAAGAAGTAAAAATTGTAGAAAACAGGCATTCAAGATCATAAACTAAGGAAAATATATCAATTTTATACCGAGCAATATGTTGCTGATGAATTGCAACTCCACCTTGACGTAGGAACGCAGCTCAGATAATGACACCAAGAACAGTGATCATTTCCATTAACCCCACGGAAAAGCATGATCATACCAACTGTGAATCTGCAGCAAAATCAAGAATAATGATAATCCTTCCTTAGGAGCTATTATTCTGTACGGACACCGGACGGTTCTCCCATCTGGTTAAGTCCTCGGTACCGAGCTCGGTACCGAGCACAGTACATTTTTGGAGTGACATGACGCTTTTTTATTAGTCTCCGGACGCCCTCCGGACTCCACACAGAATAATAAATCCTTAGAGCATCCAAAATTGATTTTTTTTTTTCAAGAAGCTCACCCCACAATCAGAAAAATGGCAGCAGCTATCCACAATATGTACTGATACAACCTGTGCTTGCGCTTTGTTGGACCAGTATGGTAATTAGGACTGTGATTCTGTTGGCTGATCCATCCAAACTGAGGGCGAATCAATAGTACAAAACCAAGAAGAAATCCAGAGATAAAACCTCCAATATGAGCAAAGTTGTCCACATGTGGGAGGACACCAACAGCAAGGTTTATTACAATGATGAACACAAGAGTGAGCAATGCTGCAACCTATAGATGAGTGCAATCAGTATATACAAATAACTACTGTGGCAGCAAAACTCAAGATTAATTTATAAAGTTTTGATTGTACCTTATTGGCGTAAATTGACCAATTTGTTATGAGTTCAGCAAGCATGCCACCTAGTAATCCAAAAAGTGCTCCTGAAGCACCAACTGATATGCTTGATTGGATAAAGAGTGCGGATAGTAAGCTCCCACCAAGCCCAGATATGATGTACAGAGGACCTATTCTCACTGTTAAAGAAGGGGTAATTAATACGTTAAAAGGCAATACTTCATCCTAGCTAGACTAACAACTGCTTCAACCTAATTAGGACAACGACCACGAGGTTAATAATATGTTGAGATCCTATGTTGCACCGATACACCTATTTGTGAAGGCGTGTTGTATCCAATAGACTGATACACGGATACGCCTCCGATACGGCACCAATATGTGTCGGATACGGCTTTGCTGTATCCAATTAAAATAATATTTAATTTCAAAAGGACATGTATATCCGATGCACGTGTCTGTTGAAAAACAAAAAAAAAATCTGAAATAAAGATGTGTCGTATTTACTTCTGCGGTTGCGAGCAAGGTTCTCTCATTTCCGAGATGGATTTGAGTCTCTTGATGATATGGAAATATTAAAAATTGCTAATCTTTCACTTGATGAGCCTGAATTAGAAGCTATGATATTTATTGAAGATGATATAGAAGTTCAAAGACAAACCATTGAAGAGAAGCTAATCATATCATTCATTCTATAGAATAGTTGAAACTTCATATGCTAGACAATTTATGTTTATGCTTTTGTTGTTGTACTAGACATTTAATGCTTACTTTTATTTTGATATTATAAGTTGCAATGCTAAAAATGATATTACTTTCATTTTTTTGTAATTTCAAATCTTATGCTTTGATTGCTTTCTTAATTTTTATGTATGATTTATAAATTATAATGTCGTGTCCGCGCCGTACCAGTATCATGTATTTTTAAGAATTAGCGTGTCCCGTATCCGTATCATGTCGTATATGTGTCACCGTATCCGTATCGGTGCAACATAGCTGATATCACACATTTAAATCAGCAAAATTAATGACAAAACATAAGGACAACATCAAAAGTATGAATCATAAATTTGGTCAAAGCATATGATTGATAGTAGAAGATAAGATATTGTTGCGTTGATACGTCACTTACCAAATCCAAATTCTTGTTCGAGTCGAATTCCGATGAAAAGAAGGCTCAACATATTGGCGAGTACATGGACAACTCCAGCATGAAGCCAGGCACAAGTAACTAAGCGCCATCCTTGGTGCCCATGGACCACTTTACTTACGTCAAGAGCCCCCATTTTCTCTAATCTAATGGATTAAAAACATTGAGCTTCCTCAGATATAGAAGAGTCAGTTAAATCCTGCTAAAAATTGCGGACTGAAAAAACAACGTAAAATATAATCGAATATTAGCTCTATAAGAAATTGTTGAGCCAGGTTAAAAGTTATCACATTTGGAATGGTAGATCGGGACGATGCTGATCTAGGGGTAAAATAGAGTTGATTTCAAGTTAGTCAGCCTTGAGTCGAAATTGAAGATTTCGATTTCCTCTCAAGTCAAATTCCAGTTTAGTCAAAAATGATTAATTTTGAATTGGCTTCAAGCAAATTGCGTTAAGTCGTGTATGGGAATGTGCATATATCGTATCTCCGTTCATTTTCAAATTGAATCAAAGAGATTTTGATCGATCCATCTTCAAGTCAAAGCAAAACAAACTCAATTTCAAATCAATTAAAAATTGAACTATCAAGTGCGAATATAATCATCAGCCTTATGTTAATGTCAAGCACAACATAGAAGCAATTTTTAAGGGTGAATTGTTTAAACGTCAAAACATTTATCCTTTCTTCATCAATCCAAATAAATACCCAATAGCCAAAAAAGAGAAACTGCGTAATTTTTTTTTCCTTCTAAAAAAGCAATATGCAATGCAAAGATTTTAATTTTTAATGATTTATATATATATATATATATGTGTGTGTGTGTGTGTATAAGTTAGTCAAATAAAAAGATAAAAGTAGTTTCAAGTGAAGTGCATTAAGGATAAAAATAAAAAATACTTTTTATTAGAAGAGGATATTCATTAAAGGTGGATGAGATATTTTGCTAAGCTTTTCAATTAAGATTGTGAGAATACAATTGACTTTAGTGACCTTAGTACCCTAAATGAAAATAAAGTTTTTTATTTTTATCGGCATATTAGTAAAACTGAAGTTAGAGAGACTTTTAAGAAAATGAAGTGTGGAAATTGTTGGACCTGATAATATATCAATAAATGTGTGAAAATGTTTAGGAGATGAAGAAATTTCTTGACTTACTAAACTTTTTAATATTATTTTGAAGACTAAAAAGATGTGAGATGAGTGGAGAATGAGTTTTTTATTCTTATATTTAAGAATAAAAGTGATGTATAAGATTGTGTGAATTATAGAGGAATTAAGTTAATGTGTTATACTTTAAAACTATGTGAGAGAGTCATGGAGCATAAGTTAAGACGTGATACTAATATTTCTCAAATCAATTTGGATTCATGCTGGGTAGGTCTACCATGGAAGCTATACATTTATTGAGAAGTTTTATAGAGAAGTATAGAGAGAATAAGGAGGATTTATATATGATATTTATTGGTTTAGAGAAAGCATACAATAAAGTTCCAGGAGAAGTGCTACGAAGAGTTCAAGAAAAAAAAGAAGAAGTAATAATGCTTATATTCAAGTCATTGAGAATATGTATGCAAGAGCTGTTATTTGTGTTCAAACACAAGGTGGTCTGACCAAGTATTTTATTATTTCAAATGGATTACATCAAGGATTAGCCTTAAGCTCATATATCTTTTTGCTTTAGTCATGGATATTCTTACTAGACATTTGCAAGAGGTTGCACCCTGTGTATGTTTTTTGTTGATAAGATTAGAGAGGGAATTGAAGATAAACTTGAATTATGAAGGTCAACCTTAGAGTCTAAAGATTTTTGTTTGAGTAGATCTAAAATCAAATATATAAAGTATAATTTTAGTAGTAATAGATCCAGTGGAGGGATTGTTGTAATAATCCGAATATTTTCAAAATAATTTTTTTTAATGAAAAATTTAAATCTCAGCACCGTGCCATATTGAAGAAGAGAGATGGAAGAGAGAGAAGGTTATTCAGGGCTTTTCCATTTGTCAATTTTGTTCAGAGTTTTCTTCTATTTATTGTAAGTAATTCAAATCTCATATTAGTTTTCAATTATTTTGATTATTATATAAATTTTCTTATATTGAACAGAATTGATTACTTTCTATTATATTTGATTGTGACATTTGCATAAGCAAAAGAAAGGCTAGCTGTTAACACTATAAAATGGGTTGGTTGTTAAAACATAATACCCTCCATAGGAGGGTGGGCCTACGGGCTTTTCTTTAAAGATGATTTGCGATGTTATCCCAATTGTAGCCTATAACAAATGATTGATTATGCTAGCGGGCAGAGAGTGACGACTCTTTATTAATTTAATAAAGTCACATGTAATGATAATTGATTAAATTGATTAATTGAATATAATAATTGATTAATTGGATAAGTGATAATTAATATAACTGATGACCAACTAAAAAAAAGTTGGGATAAAAGATATTGAAAATACCACATTAAAGCTGAATATCCTGCATTACTAAATCATACATTGATGTATACATGCATTGATAGCACTGAAGACATTGACATATACATTAATATCATTGACAGTATTGGATGCATTGATAATACATAAATAAATGATTCATATGAATTGATAAGATAAATTCTTTTAGTGATTTATGAATGATTTTTGCATCGTTTTTTTACCGATTTATTGAATTTTATACAAATTATTGATTTTTAGACTCATTGTAATGATTCCCTAATTTTATTATTAATCATTTTGAATTTTATTGATTATATTTGATCATTAACTATATTGAGTAGTATTGATTATATTAGATCGAGCATTTCATATTAATTCTTTAGTTCTTACATAAAAAGCTTTAGTGAGTTTTGGATTACTGCTGAGTTTTTGAGCTAATTATATGAATTTTTATGATTTCAGGTCAATAAATGGATTAGGACTAGTCGTAGTGAGATTGTTAGAGATCGTCACGTTTTTTGTTGATTTTGTTTATATATATATATATTGTAGTTAAGAATTTGTGATAGATTATTGATTTTAACGATCTCTTAGCAATTGTATAAAGATTTTAGGAGAATGAATATTATGTAATATTCTGAGGTATGTAATTATTACTCGTTATCATTGGATATAGGTTTATTACTATGATGATTTATAGAAGCTCTGGTTGATTAATAAAGAAAATAAAATAAATAATTCTTTCAAATTTAATTATGGGGCATTGCAATTGTGACTTTAGGCAATCAAGTCATTAATAAGAGTACACATTTTAGATATCTTGGATCTATTGTTCAGTGATGATAAAATAGATGGTTATATTATTGGTAGAATTCAAGTTGGAAGGATGAAGTGGAGGAATACATTGAACTTGTTATGTGACGGGAAAGTCGTCTTTAAACTTAAAGAAAAATTCTATAAGATGATGGCGAGACTTGCAATGCTTTATGACGCATAATGTTTTCCATTAAAAGAGAAGCATAATATTAAGTTAAGTGTTGCATAGATGAGGATGCTCAGGTGGATGAGTGACTTTACTTTCAGTGGCTTCACTCTTAGAAACAGGAACCAAAATAAGCATAAACGTAAAAAGGTTGGAGTATCCCCAGTGAAAGATAAGATTAGAGAGAGTGATCTTGGATGGTTTGGTCACATAAAACGGCGGCCTTCCGATGACCCGGTTAGAAGAGTAGATGTATTAGATTTGGCTTATGTTAAGAAAGATAGAGGCAGACCTATAAAGACTTGGTTAGAAAATATTAGAAATGACAATTATTTATTATATTTAAATGAGAATTTGAATCTTAACATGACACAATGGAGAAAAAGGATTCACATAGCCGATGCAACGTAATGGGATAAAGGCTTGATGTTGTTGTTGTTGTATATATGCAATGCATCAACTCATTAGAAAAGGAACCAACCTATCAAAGTAATATTTGAACTTGTTTTTCCCATGCAACTCTTTAAGTGCTAAACTACATACATAAAACTGATGCAATTTACAAATATCTGATTGGGGAGCATTTACAAGATTAAGTCTAAATTGATTTTGTGTGACCCCATTATCGTGTGACCCCATTATCAGGAGATCAATCAACCAGTTTTCCGATAGTTCCAAACAATAGAAGTACTAATTTAGTGAGTTATATAAGAAACCCACCTAGAGCAAACAAAATAAGAAACTTATAATTACTAGCATTAGATTCACAATAAGTAATCAACAGGATCAGGAATCTGATAAGTGATAAATGGAATTCAAAATAAGCATGCCACGAAAGAAACTGATGAAATTTTGAGCAGTTACCTGCACTATCGAATAAATATTAAAACGCAAGAGACATATAATTGGATTCCAGATTGTGTACGGAATGAATTACTACTTGTCAGATATTTCAGTGAGATAAGAGTCATTATTAGGCCCCTACAGCAAGCACACTTGAAATCGTTTTGAATCAATATAAGTTATGTTATGACCCTCGGTCAGTTTAGGACATCGAAAATTTACATGAAACTTTCTGAACATCTGTTAAGAATTAATTTAAAGTAAAATACAGAAATTTTGTAGTCAGCTTGCCGGCTCAAATCAGAGTTCAGAAATATAGAAATATTTTTCCAAAGTAAATAAGGCATTAAAACATTCGTTGATTAAAACCACAGAATAATAATGTACGCATAGCAAGCTATATCTAGAGGGCGTACAAAGGCAATAATAATAGGAACAATGATAACACAAAGCAACCATCGAGGTAACATGTGAAAATCACATTATAGAGGGTATGGATGAATACATAGTGACTACAAGTAATCATAAAAGTCAGTTTCCAAGATTGAGAGGCATGTTTTTCATCTTTCTGAACATTTTAAATCCTTATAAAAGCAACAAATCCCCAAAAATAAGCAGACATCTTACTCTCCTACCACCACAAAAAAAAAACCCACTTGGTTGAGTGATATTTCCTTTGACCTCCAAAGTGGAGGTCAAAGGTTCAAACATGTGTGAAAAAATAAATTTTAGTCTCCTTAAAACTCAAATTATGTTTTCAATTTCTCATAGCAGAAAAAAAAGCATCATGTTCTAGATTTGAAACCTGTAAATTACAGGAATTCCAATATAGCCTTCCCTAGTTTTCAGAATTTAACCCGCCCATTCACTATATTATATTAAAAATTCAACGCTAAAGTTATGTCAAGGACGTTTTTAGTTAGTGAGAACAGGAAGCAAATAAAAGATTTTTGTAAAAAGAAACAAGTAAATGAAATGTTAGTTTCTACACATTTACAAAACCTACTGCAAGTTTTTCTTCTAGTTTGTACGTTCTCTCAAGCATCACCCTTTGTCGAGTAGTAAGGCATTCTCCCTGTATATGCAGTCTCTGAAACTTTCGTTGTTCTTAAATACATATGATCTAAAAGTAGGGGTATAAATGAGTTAAATATGAAAAAGTTGAGGCTTTGTTCGACTCGGTTCATTAACTATTGAATTGAACACAAATGAGCACAAGTTTGTCAACAAGCTGAAAAATCTTGTTCATATTCGAGAAATTTATTATAAAGTTGAACATGCACAACAAGCTAAATCTATGACCGTCAAATCATCAACATTTTTTCTAAAAATGACTATTTGCATGAAGAAATATTTGTGATTTTCATAGTATAATGCCCTTGCAATCCGGATGTAAAGTTGCGTCCGACGTCCGCACAAAATAATTTCTTCTTATGTAGAGGTTAGCAGTGCTTGGTTGAAGAATAGCAAACTATGCTTTGTGCATAAAAAATGTGTGCCCAATGTTTTAACTTTTAAGCTCCCTCGAATGCAGAGTCTGGAGATGTTGATGCCCGTGGTACAACCTAGCAGGCAGATTTTTTGTACTACAATTCTTATATTTTTCTTGTTTAAACTGGGTTTGGCAATTTATTTATGTTAAAATTAAACTGGGTAAAAAAAAGAGTTTTTTTTTTCTTTTTTTAGAGTGGAGTTGGAAACAGAAACAAAACCAAGCTAAAGCTAATCCCTTCCACCCCCGTGTACAGCTTTAATTCAGATTAGCTGCTTATTCCAGTTTTACTAATTAAATTTCTGTCAAATACAAAATTAGATGTAGAACTTTCCCTATTCCTGATCTAGACGCGTATGGTTTCCCTACAGCATCCGATGACCCAGTAATGTATCAGATAAGTTTCTATCGGAGACTCTTAAGCATCTGCAGTAAACGACTAGGATGCTGCCTGCAACACAAAGTAGATTCCTAAGGAAAATAATCGATTAACAGTTAAATAATATATTCCCTTAAATATACTCAATCATTATTCAACACAATTGCAAGAAAAACAAACATAAATCAATCAGGACTCAATTCCAAACCGCTAAAATCCAATCAAAGGCTACCCCAAACTCATTCAAGTAAACTTTCATCAAGGCAATCATTCTAATGTCTTACTGATACAAGTAATCAATCAACTCAACCCATCATCCAAAACAAGAAAGCACTGCCACTTTTCCAAAATCTTAAGACAAAGATTATTCCATCGTAATTAATGTCACTGCAACATGACATGATGGCATTATGCCGCTCCGAATCCCTGATTGGGCCAAAATCCAATCCACGTATAATATAATAAAAAAATCCAAAGAAATCACAGAGATATCATTCTAAGAAACATCAAGAACCACTCACGTATTGGACGAAGGCCCGAGGAGGGGATTCTCTTTGAGGGGCTGGAAGGAGAATCTTCCGAGGAAAGAAGCAACGCACGATATCGAATTTCTAGGGCAGTTGTTCACAAACATCGTGATCGCAAAGAGCAAGACGTTCGCCGCAATAAAAGCCGGCACCAACCACGGCCTCCACCGCCGGAACGGCATGGTCTCGCCTGAGAGAATCCCCGCCTCCGCATCCGATGGCTGCCGCTGCGGTGGTCCCGAGCCCATCTCTAAGGGGTGAATGCTGTTGTCGCCAACCCTCGACTGGACCCTTACCTCGATCTCCGATGCGGACGACGCCTTCCTTCCCATATAACGAATTTTATCGGCTCCAAATCGAATTCATCAGCGAATTGGATTGGTAAAAATAAGGTTTTTAATGGAACGAAAGAGAAAACTACAAGAAGCTTTGATGTGATGGAGAAGAGCGGATCAAATCGGTGGAAGCAAAGCAGACGAAAATAAGAAGAAATGGTTTGTTTGGTTGGAGACCATAACAAATGGTGAGTCATCATTTATTTAACTTTTTTATTTATTAATTATTTAGTCAAATCAATTAGAAAAAATTTTATTGCAGTTTAATTATTGCTATTTAGATTTATTATTTGAATTATTCAAAACTAAAATAGCCTGTCATGCATGTACATGGTAATAATCGAAAGTACAATTTCGTTCATTTCAACCTTTTTGACAAGTTTTTGATTTTTTAAAGGGATTTTATTCCAAAGAAAAAAGCGGATACAAATATGTCCAATAAAAAATCAAGTCAAAATTATAATTCTAAAACTATAAAAATAGACTAAATAAAGAATGAAGCAAAAGCCAGCCAGCCTCAATCATTTGGAAGAAGCTTTATGCAAATACCCGGAAGCTAGGTAAGAATTATCCAGAGGAGGAATCAAGCAACATCCACCAAACATATTAACCACTACCAATGATTGCCAACAAGTCAAAGTCGTCCATGAGGTGAACAGAAAATTGTCACATCATTGCCTGGACCTCGAAGAAAAAGCAATAACCGCAAAGACATGCCCAACACCAACAAAGTAGAAAAGGAAAACTTTTACCGCGTAACTTTTGGTATGTTTTAGAGATCATGATTTTACACGTTTTGGATATTTTTTGGAGAATTTTCACAGGATATTTTGAATTCTGTGGAGTTTTTGTCTAATATTAAATTATCTAATTGTCGAAAAATATTGCTTCAGTACAATTAAAGTCTTGAAATGATGTTTTACACGATCTCTGATAATTTGGTAATTTTCTAAAACTGTGAATTTTTTATCAGTTGAATTTACATTGTCTGCCGTTATACTCTCTGACGATTTTCTGCTCTGATGATTTTCTGATACGAATTTGATTTCTTTGAATATGATATGATTTAATATTTGATTTGATATGATTTAATGTTTGATGTGATTTGAATGATATCAGAATAGAGTTATAATGGGCCGGAATCCTTTAAGATTCTTTCTGTGTCAGGGAAGGGAGGCATAAAGGGCCAGAATCCTTTGAGATTATATTTGTTAGGGAATATGAAAATGAATTCTGATCTGATAATTCTATATATCTGATATATTCTGGTGCTTTAAGTACAAAGGGAGTCATAAGGGGCTAGAATCCTTTGAGATTTTGTATGTGTTAGGGAATGGAGGCATAAGGGGCCAGAATCCTTTGAGAATCTGTCTGGATCTGATATGTGATTTAAAAAATGTGATTTATGATTTATATGATTCTGTGATACGAATTTATTTCAGTTTTTTTGTATCTGTTATTTAGGAATATCTGAAGTCTGTTTGTTTATCTGTTCTATACGAATATCTGCATTCTGTTTAATTATATGATTTCTATATGATTATCTGAATTATGTACGACTATTTGAATAAATTATTTTAAAGCTTTTTGTGAGTATTTTGATATGAGATTTTCTGGAGATTTTGATCGGCTAGTGTATGCTTGCTGAGCTGTTAGCTCACTGTGGATATCTTCATGGTTTTCAGGTTCTAGGAAAGGGAAGGAGGTTTTGGACTAGCCGTTCTGTATCTGATCTGAGATTATGTATTTTGTACTTTTGATTTTTTGTACAGTCATGTCTTTTCTGTTCTGTTCTGTACTTTCTGTTTATAGACATGCACTGTAATGTATATGATTATTTTGAGGAAAAAAAGAAGAAATGTTGGATGAATTTCTGTATATTTGTAGTAGCTCTGTGTTCTATAGTCTTGTGTATATTAGAAGAAAGTCTGAAAGCAAATTTCAAAGCTAGATTATGGGGTTCATCCGTCGCGACTCAATGCGATGGGATACGTCCCGGTTGGGTTGGGTCATGATATGTGAAAGTCTGCATGTGTTCCAAAGCGGGCCCTTGAGGTCTGTGTGTATATTTTATAAATCTAGAAAATTTTCCCTAGAATGCCATAACAATAGGTCTAGTGGTGCCATTAATTCAACTCTCTACTTTGCCAAACTAATTTATTTGTGGAGCTGTGGGCTCCAAGAGGGACCATCGCGACGCCCGTGATTGGACCACGCGGCCCTCGACCGAATTTTAATATTAAAAATATATTTTTTTACTATTCAAATTATTTTCATCTAACCATAACAATCAACTAGAGAGAGGGATCGAGGATGATTTCTAGAGAGAGCAAGTTTTGGGCCACTTCAAGTCATTTTCTACTAACTAACCATTTTCAAATGTTGTCTGACTTGAGAATCATCTAAGAGTGGGAGTAGTTATTTTGAGAAGATAAGTAGATTTGGAACCCTTAAGTTCAGGAAATGCAATTATTTTGGATATATTTTTGTTGGTGGTAGTATGGCCATTTCTAGCAGTTCTCTACATATACGCTCGAGTTTTGGTATGTAACACGCAGGGCCGTGATACTAGATGACATGCCAGTATTTTTGTTATGGCCAAATTGGACATAGAGTTGAAGAATTTTTGTAAATAGCACTTGATCGACTTTCTAATGTTTATTCTGAGAGCTCTGTCAGAGTAGCAGGGAGACCAAAACTATTCCACCTCAAGGATATATTGATGCAGCTTCTTATAGAGGTAGTGGTCTGTGATAGGGAGAAAGTTTGTAGGTGTTTAGAGAGAGCCTAGTCGTTCTGTGTCTCCAACTCCCATTCATCTATGTGTATATAGTCTGAATCAACAAGAGGTTGTGGATTCTCCTGATGTGGAGACAGGTATGGCTTATGTTTTAGCTACGCCTTATCATATTTTATTTGATTATGGTGTCAGTCTGTTGTTTAATTTTGAAGATACTCCTATCTGCTATGTTTACCTTATAAATCGTTATCTCTTACCTTATTTATTATTCTTCCAACTATAGATAGTATGATTGTTAGTAAATTTTATCTCTGTATGTTAGAAATTTTTTATAGAAAGTGAAATTCTAGTTTAATAGTTTAATTTTGCCTATTTTTTAGTTTGATGGCATTTTGGGCATTAATTGGTGAGTTGTTGCAAGGCTCATATTGATTGTTTGAAAAGGAAAGCAACTTTATTTATGAATAATAAGAGTTTGATATTTCATGGAGTAAGAAGTGTTCTGGCTTGTCTGGTATCGACTCTAGAAATGGATAGACTGTGAAAGAAAGGTAGTATGATATTTCTAGCTTATGTTAGAGATATGAGAATAGATTTTGGATCATTGTATAATGTTCCTATGGTACAGAATTTTTAGATATTTTTCCTAAAGAGTTGGTAAGCTTACCACTTGATAGTGAATTGAGTTATGTATTGATATGTTTTCTGCTTTGATATCCAAATCTTTATATAGAATGGAATTTAAAGAGCTTCAGGAGTTGAAGGTATAGCTTTAGGAGTTGATTGATAGAGATTTTGTCTATCCTAGTGTGCCTCCATATGGAGCACCTATTTTATTTGTAAAAAATAAGGATGGTACTATGCGAATGTATATCGATTATAGGGGGCTGAATAAGATAACTGTAAAGAATAAGTATCAATTTTCACAGATCGACGATTTATTTGATCAACTATCAAGATCATCTATGTTTTCTAAAATTGATATGAGATCCAGATACATCAGTTGAAGATTAAGGAAGAAGATATTTCCAAGACTGCTTCCACCACAAGATATAGACATCATGAGTTCTTAATCATGCATTTTGGGGTAAGTAATGCTTCGGTAGTTTTTATGAATTTGATTTGCATAATTTTTTAGACTTTATAGCATCAGTTTGTCATTATATTTATTGATGATATTCAGGTATACTCTGAGTCTGAAGAATATCAAGTACTTCATCTAAGAAAAGCCTTGAAAACTCTGAGATGGCATAAGCTTTATGCTAAATTCTCTAAGTATGCTTTTTTGGTTGAAGAGTGTCACATTTATAGGGCATGTGAGTAGTAGTGCAGGTATAATTATTGATCCCAAAAACATTCCGACATTTTCTATTGACCAAGGCAAACTACAGAATTTGAGGTTTGTAGTTTTTTGGATATGACTAAATTATAGGAAATTTGTAAGTGTTTTCTCATATTTCTATACTTCTGACCATGCTGACTTAGAAGTCAGTGGCTTAAGACTGGATTCCTGAGTATGACTAAATTTTTCAGAGATTGAAGGATTACCTAATGACGACTCTAATTTTGATGATTCCCTCTAGCATTGACGTATTTTAGTATTCATAGATGCCTCACTTAAAGGATTTGGTTGCATTATGATGCAGTTGGGAAAAGTTATAGGTTGTGCTTCTAAATAGTTAGGGCCAAACGAAAATAATTATCTCACACATGATTTCGAATTTGTTTCCATCATATTTGCTCTAAAGATCTAGCGACTCTACTTGCATAGGTTCATGTGTGAAATTTGTATAGATCACCAGAGTTTGAAATATATTTGTATACATAAATATCTAAATTTGAAATAGTGGAGGCGGCTTGAGTTAATTAAATATTGTGATTTGATGATTCAGTATCAGTATGATAAGGCGAATAGTAGCAAATGCTTTAAGTATGAAGTCTTTTGGTGTATCATTTTCTCTGCATGCTTCTATTAATTATCAAGTTCAAGATGTGGAAAAGTTGGAGTTAGAAATTGTGAGATCCTTGGATACATATTTAGGCACATTATCACAAATGATTATACAACCTATGCTGTAGGAGAGAACTCAAGAAGCTTAGAAGTCAGATATAGAGTATCTGAAGTTGATTGATTAAATCAAGTCTAGTAAGATATCTAATTCTCATGTTATTGTCTGCAAGAATAGATTGTGGGTTCCTATTATTGAAGATATGAGAAGTGAGGTTCTACATAAGGCACATTATTCATGCTATACAATTCATCTTAGAAGCAATAAGATTTACAAGGATCTGAAAGGTATGTTATTATGGCCCTATTTGAAGAGAGATGTAGCAGACTTCGTTTCGAAATGTGAATTTTATCAGTAAATGAAAGCAAAGCATCAACTATCAGGCCTTCTTTTGCAATCATTGCATATTCCAGAGTGAAAATGGGAGGTTGCAACAATAGACTTTACTATGGATTTTTCGAGGTTTAGGCAAAACCACGATACTATCAAAGTCGTGATAGATCGTGAAACAAAGTCTGCACAAGAGATGAAAAATATTCTTAGGGTATTTGCTACTTGTGAGCAGTTTAGGCAAGTTTTTTTTTCATGGCGAATATTTTTCTTGAGATATGTGACCGTTCGAGCTGAGTCTCTTTAGAGGACATGTTCCATACAACATGTTCAAGTATACAATAATAATAACTATTATTATTATTATTATTATTATCCAAGAAAACGTGATAGAGAATTACAAGTTACCATATTTCTGGTATTTAATACTTGTAAGGATTCCTTCTTCTTCATAAAAGGATATTAGTTGTTCTATGAGAGAATAGAATTGTCTCATAATTAAAGCAAGCATTTAATAACAAAAAATTTCAAAAGCTTATTGTTAGACAACCAGCAGAAATTTAACAACTCACAGGTCAACAACCCTTAAGGAATGAACAGCTGCTGTTCACCTAATATTAACAATAAGGCCAGGCCAACTACCAAAGACAATTATTTACAATTGTTAAGAAAAAATTTTGAGCTAAATATTTGACCAAATTTTAATTAAAATAAATATTAATGTTAGTATTGACGAGTATTCCCTCTTAGGAGCAGATTATTCGAAGATCTCGTCATCAAATTTGCTACTAAAGTCGGATATCATCCACTTCAATCAATAAAATATAAATTATTTATATAAAGTATAAACTACAATTAAAAGAATTTTAGCTAAAATGCGAGCCGGACGGGAGGAAATCTCGTCTTTGCCATCGTGCAGACACTCCGTTTGCGCTAATTAGATTTTGTTTAGTCAATTAAGGCAAAATTACGCACACATTACACAAATTTTGATCTCAAAATCTCTTAGTTGATAGTCAAAACTCTCAACCAATAAATCAAAGTAAGATCATTTCTAACTGAAAAACTCATTTTCCACTCCAAAATGCAGTAATTCATCTCCAACAGAATTCTATTTCTTAACACAAAAAAGAATATTCCGTGTATATTCTTTCTCAACCACATGCAACAACCTTTCTCCACTCCGCTTTTTCTGTTTCCGTCAAAAATGTGCTTGTGAACAGTGCAACGCCAATATTTATGTCACACTGTTCACGACGAGAGAATGGCATGTCTTTTGTCATTAAATTATTGAAGTTCGTGGATGCCAAACAATAGAGTTTGGTTAGAAATTCTCTAACATGAGTTTAATTAGAATGTCCTAAATCTATCTCTTTCCACATTTAATGTATGAAGTAGGTCGGTCGGCCAGGGTTTATGGACCGCCAAACGCATTCGGCAAAACCTGACGTGACAGAGGACGATTCCTCTTCAAAGAAAAAAACACAGCTCTAACAGAAATCTGGCAAATTATTACGTTCAGTGTCTGAATTCGTCCGGACACCAATCCAGACGCCCCGTGTCACCAAATACACCGGGACCCAATGTATTCAGGTGACATGGTGCATTTGGATTGGGTATCCGGACGTCCGGTGACGTAATAATTCACCCAGAAATCTACATGGTCTTTGTCAGTTGTCATCAAAGTAGGGCCCACCGAATTCCGCCTGGGAGGAAATGACCATAACTTTCTTGGCTGAGGCATCACGTTATGGAAGACGTGGTCTCGTAGAGAACCCGGCTTTGAGTGAAAGCATTCTACAGATGCTGATTTTGACCTCTTACCAAAGATGCCATTTCTGTGAGATATTATTCAGTGCAGTTTTCGAACGAATCTGATGGTCAATCTGGATGTGTCATCTCATTCAATGTATTATATATTGAATGACGTGACATGTTCAGATTAATCTCAGGAAACGTCTGTACCCTACACAGAATAATTTTTGAACTTCACATAAAAAACCACCATTATAAATTTGAAGAGTTTAGGTAGCTCATTTTGGATGGATCTGCTTGTTGTAAACTTTTACTATCAACCAAAAAATTTTAGATTCGAATCTTCCATATCATATATGATGTGTGAATTTATCTTAATTGACTTAAATATCCCAAAAACTAAAAACAAAATTTAATAGTTTCCAAGAAAATGATATGTTTTGCCTGAATCAGTATAATAAGTTTAACTGCAGACCGAGCCGCGGCGCTCGGATTGACAAAAAATTTTAACTTCTATTTTTTTGAAACTGTGAGGATCATATTCAATCATGTTTATTGAGCACACAAAAATTTACATAAAATGCCAAAAATTATCAAAAGACCAAAACAGGTTATGAGAAATAATCAGAACTCTATGAAAAATAATTGATGGCCAGAAGTCTCTAAAAAAAATGGAAACAATAATATATTGATTCTGTAAGACTACACAAATATAATCCCAGCAATAGAGATGATAATCAGCTACAAATAAACAGATAGATCCCGCATAACAATCAGCAAAAATGCATTGAGAGTATCCAAAAATCCAGCAATTGGTAAAGGATCCAGTAAGCCATGACCAAACCAGAAAAGAAAACAGAAAATATAATCCATATAACCTTCCAAAGGACTAATTCCTTCAAAAAGAAGCAGATAGTCCTCCAACTTATTCTAGAATCTATTCCATCCCAGCCATTGAGATTTGAGAGACACTAATGAATAACCAGTTCTTCCAAAAAGAAAACCAATACATCAAAGCAGCCAATGTGAGGTGGGTGTGGGTGTAAGAATCAAGTGCATATATCAAAAACTTCAGCTTCATTTGAGGCAGCTTTCGTACTGATTTTTAAAATAATTTTTTGAAAAAAATTTTCCTAAAAAGTTGTTGTAGAAAGTCATTAGCCCAAAGTAGCTGTGAAAAAAACTGATCCAAATAAAACCTTAAACTCGTATAAATCCGAATGGCATTGCTTGAAAATGATAAGTAGTTGTGATAAATATTTTGTTTGGAATAATTTTTGTAATGTTTTTTAAAATAGCTTTTTAATACAAAAATATCAAATTCAAAAAAAAAAAAATTGTACTGAAAAGTTGTTTTAGAAAGCAAGAAGACAATTATCTCAAACGAAGCCAAAGTCTCCACCATAAAGATAAACCATTAGCCCAAAGTAGAGCTAAAATATCATAGCAACAAATGTGATAGAAAGTAAAAAAAAAAGTCAAAAAACCACATCCAATATAAGTCCAAGCGCAAGAAGATTTTAAAGAGTTGCAGGACAGTGTAATATAACGGAAAAAAACAACACCAAATCTTTCATATAACACCATGTCAGTACCAAATAGGCAGTCACAGTACATAAGAGTAGTAGTCACTGAGATCCATAAAAATGCCCAAAATAAAGACAAATAAGTATAGCAGTTTAATGCCCAGAGGAATATCGAATGTCTTTCTCAAAAAATTAGTATTTACTTTTGAACAGCTAAATGAATTTTGGTTCATAAAATCATCATAATGGTAAGATAAGGAGCGAATAAAATTATAAAGAATTCACCCAAAAGATTATACACCTGAAATAGACTGAATGAAGTTCAAATAAACTGTAATAGCATTTACTTTCACAAGAGACAAAAAATAACCATAAAAAATTATTTAAATGCCAGCATTCTTCCTAGATGTGTGCATCAAGGTATATATATATATATATAATGTTCGGTGCAATTAAACAAAAACAAAAGAAAGGAAACACTAGTTGAGCAACTTATGTCCAGGCACTGTACTTGATCTAGACAGCTTCCCCCTGCAAGTAATATATATGTAATTCAAATTAGTTTCACCAAGATAAGGAAATGAGACATTATTTGAGAACTAAACCAGCATAGGATATGATGCAACAAAAAAAGTCCAAATAGGTAAATAATTGAGATTAGAAAATAAGACAATTTAGATTGGTGATAAGATTCCAATTGAGCTTCAATGAAAAAATTATGATTATTGTTTACGGTTGTAAACATATTAATTAACAGGTTTAAGGACTTCAAACACTTGATGCGATAAAAAAAAGGTATATCATAGCTTAATCAAAATATTTTCACAACCAAAGAAAATATTATATCAAGATATCTTGAACAAAAAATGATCCGGATGAATTTTGAAATTCATATATTTATTTTGAGATTGAATGTAATATATAATTAAATTTAAAGACATCAAAATTCATCTTGATCAAATTTGATGAAGATATTTGGTCCCTTTGTTCATTTTCACAACTAATTGTGAGAAAATGAAATCATAGATTTAAATCATAATGTTATATACTTTTATTATATAACGAGAATTTGATTTTTAAATAGAAATAATGGAGAAAAATGATTCACGTAACTGATCCCACGTAGTGGGACAAAGGCTTGTTGTTGTTGTTGTCATAGATTTTGAGTTCCAATGGAAACATAGCCGTACCAAAGGAGTTCTCAAAGATTGAACAAAGACAACATAAAAAATACGGGAAATACAATGGTTAGAACTTAGAACTTTCAGGCCACCAAATCTTCAATTTTAATTACAAAATAAGATGCAGCCTGGAGTTACAAATCTACAAGTTCAGATACGGCACTAGTTCATAATAATTAGCTCCAAGTTTCATATGATATCCTAATTTGTTTAGGGGCTAATTGGTTGGATTTCAAATGGGTATTAAATATTCCAAATGTCAGGATTTTGAAAATTTTGGTGTTTGATTTGATGAAAATAAAATGCAAAGTAAATATAGTGTAAATCAATTTAATTCATTTTTTAGGTAAACTAAACTTGCCCAGGTTTGAGCAAGAACGGTTTACACCACAAGCAAGCTCGCTTGATCACCGCCAACCGCTGTCGAACAACACCATCATCCGCCACTGGCCATAACAGTCGGCCATCGCCACCACTGTCAGCCACCAAAATCGCTGCCGGCTGCCGCCACCCGCCGGTCATATGTCGTCATCTTTAGATTTTACACTACATTCATTTTAATTCAAACCAAATAAAAAAAAAACATTCACCTGAATTTACTTTTCTCTTCCAAACAACTTCAAAATATTCATTTTATTATGTTGTAAATCTCAATCGAGTTATGTTTTTCATGAGTTTGATTTCCTCATTGAATTTCTTTGATTCAGATCATCATTAAATTATAATTGGTGCTGACATCTTGTGTTCACGACTAAACATTAAAAGAAGATTTAATTGGTAGGGATTTGAAATTAAAACTATGAATTACAAATTTGATTAATGTCACTGTTATTCATCACATCATTTAGTTGCAATACGAACCTTAAATTCTAACATGTCATATGCATCAAATTAGTATCATAGTCAAAAAAATTGTCAATGCGTCAACTAGAAGTGGGATACAATATCAAGAAAGTTAATTAACATATCATTAAAAAATGCAGTTTTGACTAATTTGCAACATCAATTAGCTAAATTGTTAAATAAGAAAAATCAAATAATAATGTCAATCAAGCTAAGTAACAAATTAATTTCATGCTAATGAACTTAAAGTTAAATCTAATCATAATGGCTATTCATTAGAATGCTAGCAAGATTGAAGGACAAGAAAATCATTGGGGCATTAATAATCATGATAGACGTTCCAGAGTGAATGATGATGAAGTTTATGAAAATCATATAAGTCAAAATATTAACAAAGATGATAACCAATAAAAGTTTAACATTGACGTGTCTAGTTTTGATTGAAAAATTAATATTTTTTAACTAAAAAATGGAAATTGATAATTTCGTTTAAAGATGAACGGTATCAAATGCACGTCCCCTTTCCTCATCAACTTCTCCATGGGTAGCGCCAACAACATCTCCAACAAGGATGTGCCAAAATGGCAATCAGGATTGTGCCTAGACTCCTTAATATGCTTTGATTCTGAGTTGCCTCCTCCATTGTTCATTGTTCAGTTTCAAATGGTGCTCAATTAAAATTTCAACAAGTTCTCAACCTCTCCCTCGAGTAAGGGGCATCCACGGGAATACTGGAACCTCCATCATGCTTAAAAAATATAAATGGTCAGTTTCATGAGACACAGAGGTCATCTATCCCACCGCACTTAAAAATCGAGCATAGGTCTTCAACACTGCACGAACGAATTTTCCCACCGTGGGGAAACTACGTAAACGTGTACTCAAGTTTGCAAGTTTCCCCACCACACTGGATATATATAAACAGGTAATTATGATTGCAAGTTTCCTTGTCGTGCTGGAACTAAATGAGTGGGTACTTATTATACCTTGTGCGAGGCCAACAACGAAGACACGACGACGAGGCGAATAGCAAGAGGCAAAAACACGAATTCTCTTTTTTTTTTCCTTTTTTGTAGATTTCTCTTTTTAGCTCTCTGATATATATAGGGAATATGGGAGAGAAAGAGCATGCTGTTTTTTTCTTTTACAGAAAGAGAGAGGTAGGAAACTAAAAAAATGTTTTTCTCTCTCTTTAGAGAAAGAATGGGAGGGTGTGTGGCATAGAGAGAGAGAGACAGAAGAATGAGAGAGAGAGAGATAGAGAGAGAGGAATGTAGAGAGTGTGTGAAAAATCAATTTGTAGAGAGAGAGAGAGAGATTGCAGGTGAGATCTTGGAGGTTGGGTGAGTTGCAAGTTGCAGGCAAGTTGTAGGAGGCTAAGGTCGAAGATTAGGTGCAGGTAGCTCAGGTGATTAGGCTGGAGGTGGGTTGATGAGTGGAGAAGAAAGGTCGGGCAAAAGTGGGAGTGGGCAGAGTCGAGGGTCGGACTAAGTTGGAGACGTATCAAGTTTGAGAATGACAAGGAGATCCAGTCAGTTTTTCTGCATACCGCCGGGGTTAGCTAGAACTAGAAGGTTGAAGCTGCTGGGCTGGAGTTGCCAGCGACTGGTGGGTAGGTTGGTGCAGGTTTGAAGAATAGGTGGGTTAAGAGGAGTGGCTCTGGATTTAGAGTAGTAAAGGAGAGTGGCTCTTTATACGAGCAGAAGGGGAGATCGAGTGGTTGGTTGGGTGAATGGCTAGCTTGAGGGGACCATGCTAGAGGTTGTGTTTAGAGGACTTCTGTGCGCGGAACCAATCGCCAACAACAACTGGAGGTTGTAGGTGCAAGTGGGTGACTGGAAGAGAAAATGGGGGTTCTGTCGATTTGAGCTTGTGTGAATAGGGAGGAGAAGGGGTCTTGGGTGTTCAAACAAGAGAGGAAGTACATGACGGGAGAGACAAGACTCAAATGTTTTAGATTTAGGTAAGAGAGTTTATTATCTCTTCTTTTTTGTATAGCTTGATGACGTGATTGAATGGGGGAAGAGATTTGGTCAGGATGAGGGTTAGGAGAGGATGGATAAAATTGCAAATAATTTTTTAATAATATATATATCAAAGAGAAATGAATTATTGAAATTTATTGATTCTTCTTACCATTCATTTATTGAAATAGAATAAATTATCAAAGAGAAATGAATAAACTCTTAGTGCAGTTTCCCATTCGGTGTGCATCTCAATTTGTATGCCATCACCTCGCGAGTGAACATTATTTGAATTTGGACTCATGACAACCCTAGAAATATGGGTCTCTTTTCAGCTAGTTTTGACGTTTTGGACGTAACAACAAGATATGTTTTACGAAGGGGTGTTGTTCGGGTGACCTCAGGCAACTTCACACCCGTTATCCATCATTCTCACTCATGTTTGCGCAAATAAAACACATGAGTCACTTCTTGGTAATTTTATTGTCTCAAACGCAGTGGAGCAATTTGTTTTTCAATCATGCATCATTTGATGATGTTGCATAATGTTACTTTCACCCACCATCGTGCTCGTACTCTCGCATTGTCATGCATGTGAGCTAGTCTTATTTGATAAATTCGGTGTACTACGTGTATCAGTGCAATTTGTTTTGCAAATGGATGAAATATGGGTGGTTTTGACCGCGATCAAGATGCTTTGATGCTCTTTCCCATGACATTGTGGCATTCGAGCTTTGCTACGCACAACGTCATATCAATTGGTCATATTCACATTGCAGTCGCTAGCACCGATTTTAGCACTGACACGAAGGCCGACTGTAACGTGCAGGTGAGGTGGGCAGCAAGGGGTATCGAGCCGAGAGTTTCAAATATGAAATGTTCAAATAGGGAGGGATGTGAGTGAGAGAAGCGGGTTGGGAGTTTTAGACATAGGTTATTGTTATCGTTGTTAATATAGCTTTTTATGACATAAGCTGGGATGGATTACCACTGAAATAGCAGCGAATTCAGTAAGAATTTAAATAGGAATATATAGATATATATAATTAATTAATTAATTAGATTAAAGTAAAATAATATATAAAAAAGTATGAATCGATCGATGTATTACTTCTTGTTTTGGTACAGCTCGATTTTTGTGTCATCACCTCACACACGAACAAATTTCCCTCATTGATTCGTGCAACAATCCATGCAATATAGATGTCTTTCTAGGTAATTGCAATGTTTCGGATGCAACAACGAAGTATGTTTCACAACAAGCAACATTCAAGCAATGTTGTGTAAGTTTGCGTCTGTAGTCTATCATTTTCAATTGTGGTCGTTCAACTCGTGTGTGAGGGATCCTTCTGAGTGTTTTTTTATATCCTGGATGCAATGAAGCATTCAATTTCATGATTGGGCATCGTTTCAGATGATTTTACGCCACATCACATCTGCCAATCATCATGCTCGCCATTGCTTGATCGTCTTGCAAGCGAGCGATTCCTTCATAAATTCGACGCTCTGAACACGTCGATGCAGCCCATTTCATAAATGGAAAATTGTTTAAGTAGTTTTAGTAGTGGTTGAGGCGTCTCGAGTTCTTCACATGCGACTTCATGTCCGCAAGTTGTCTTTCTCGATGTACTCAATTGATCGTGAAATGCATACATAGATCAATAGTGATCCCCATATCACTAACTCATTGGCAATCAACTATGCTGATGCCAAGCAATAAGATTCTTCATCCCAACGAGAAAATTCAGAAGGCATTTGCATTGTACTCTCCATTGAAAGGAGCATCCACCTTCACCCTTTTTGAAATTTCATAAAATTCATCTCCACGTGGTTCAGGCTATTCTAAATAATCTATATAATTTCATTGCTATGTGGGGAGAAATCATGAATATCTTCATCAAATTCCTCTTCATCTACATGATAAGATAGGGCAATCCAAAGTGCAAGTAAAAATTTGATCAATTTATGAATATCAAAAGATGCCTGCTTGGAATAGTGACAAAACTACTAAATTCATAAAATCATCCAAGATATGTAAAGGAAATTTATGTTAGTTGCACAACAGTACGCATTGGATAAAGCAAGATTAGATATATGAATAGTGTCTAAATCAATGATTTTCAGAAGATTCAAATATGTGCAAGAATGCTAACCCTATTTAGTCACTCAAGTTTCTCAATATGTGGTGGAACCCACTCAGACTAAGGGACTCAACCTAAGTGATGCGACATCCAACAGTGAACATTAATCAAAGGAAGAGACGAAGATAGAAGGCCGATATCCCTTCATTTTATCTTAGTTTATTAATTCTAATTTTTATTTAATTATGCATTTTCCTTTTTTTTACCCTTACTTAAGGGACTTGTTTTATGTAATCCCAAGGGGCAAAAGTTGTCTTTTAGTTTCTTTTAAGCCCTATATATAGAGGCCTTTGCACTTGTATTAGACGATGATGGATTATAAAAAAAAAAAGAATTGGAGCCTTTGTCTTGATCTCTGTGTGAGTTATGGAGAGGAAATGTCCTATGAGAGGACAATCTTGTTTCCACCAGCCACGGGATGGATCCGGGCTCGTGAATTGAAGTCCCTCGGGAGGGCATTGTAGTACCCACCAGCCGCAGGAAGAGTTCGGGCTCGTGGTTTGTATCGTTTTTATTTTATTTTTTTCTTTGTTATCCGTCCTCTCACCTATAGTCTCCATCATTCACCATCCATTTTTTGTTTTATTTCGTTTGATTTTGGTTAACTTTTCTTTTGGATCAAACATCAACCCCTCCACCTCCATAGTCGGTCGACCACCTCACCACTAGCCTCTTCCCTCCTCCACAAATTTTGAATTTTGAATTCAAAATAGCCTCTTGATTACCTTCCTAAATTAGATTTCGTTAATTTGGAAAGTCATTCAAATTTGAATTCAAATAAATTTGAATTTCAAAACATTTCCAATTTAATAAATTCTACATTAGGGAGCCTCCTCAAATTACTCTCAATCTGAAATTAATTTCAGATTTAATTCACCCAATACCATTTAATGCTTGATCCACATACAATCACATACATTGTATGTGGACACATCTCCTCCCCCTCCATATGGCCGCCCCCCTCTCTCACCTCCTCTCTAATTAATGTCTCTCCATTAAGGCCCTCAATCAACTCCAATCACCCCTAGTAACCGCCGGCCCCCATCCCTCATCAAATCTCAATTAATCCCTTCCCAATTAAGGTGATTTGAAATTCAAATTTTCCCTCCACTTCCCCTTTTTTTGAAATCTGAAATTAAATTCAGATTTTAATTATTCAAATGACCCCTCCCCCCATATCCATTCAACATCACTAAGTTTAGTGAAATTCTCATAGGAAAGAACGATGCATACACTAACAAGCTTATAGGAGAAAAACTTACATCAACTAATAGTCGATGAATAAAACCACAATTCAGGCAAAATGAGCTTTGCTGCTAAGGATTACATACTAATAAATTCTAGATCTCAAAGAAAATACAAAATTGCAGATTCACGTCTAAAAAGTTGTTAGATGTCCCGATGAGCAACTCCATGTTATCTGTTATAGACAATGAGTACTTATCCGAGCTAAATTTTTCACACAAGGTGGCTGATGATTTAATTCAGTCAAAGAGTGTCCGTAATGGGAGGCAGCTGCTCGTTGAGGTTATTGGCAGTTTTTCAGCGTGCAAAACAAGAGCTTTGAACAATTTTCAATGATTGGCATGGGATTTTGAAGGAACCGCAGTTTTGCATCAAAAAAAATTATTAGATGATTGATTTTGTACATTGATACCAAAATTTACTGTAGGGTGAGGTCAGAAAATCAAGAATTCTTGATTTCTTGTGTTTTGAGGAGAAGAAGAAAATGAGAGATATAAGCTAACAATGGAGAATATAAGCATAATAGAAAGAGGGATCAAAAGATAACTCAAGTGATACCAAGATTATCAAAGGAGATAACCTATGAGGCCAAAAATCAGATGAGAAGACAAAGAAGAGAGGATATGATGGAGAGAGAGAGGTAAGAGGTGGAGAGGAGAGAGAGACATAACATAGTTGAGGCTATACTCTAATATAGCCGGGCAAGTAATAGAGCGCAAGTTAAAGACAATAGGAATAGTAGAAGATTTTGCGAATCTTCTACAGAAGACATTCATATTAACTCCAGAATTTCCAAAAGTAAAACAAAAATAAAGGTTAACTCTCGAAAGATCAGCTTAAATAAGGATGGCAGAACTCTAACAAAAAAAAGCAATTTTGTTTTTAATATCACCGGAGGAAAATCATAAGAAAGTAACCAGATTGTTCATTTCAATTTGTGGCCAACAGTTCTCTGCCTATAACCGAGAAACTGCATAATCCAGCATATGCTTATTGCACTAGTTACCACGATTGCTCAATTTATACAGAACTACCAATCTCCCTAAGAATAAAATTTAATAGTTAAAAGTGCAGGCCAGAAGGACTCCTAAGCATGGACCTACTCGCTTCAAATACAGCATTAGCTGATTTACAATTTCATAAAAAAACATAAAATAAATCTATCAGAATTGAACAAAGATCTAGATCACAAATTCTAACATGAAGTAAAGATAACCAAATAAGCAAAAAAAATCAACATGGCAGTCATTAGTTGGCATGCACGTTTTCTTTTCATTTGTCAAGTATGTTGGAATGATAAAAATGGAAGAAATATAACAACAACGCTATTATGGCACAAATTTTAAGCTATTAGAATTTCTAAATAAGGCTAGACGCTCCGAGAACATGCATGAGATAAACTTTTTTAGCATTAAATCAAATACATCAAAGAACATCAAATTGGAATAGTGTGCCACCCAATCTAGACCCACACAATGCACATGACAAGGGAAGTATTAATGTATTCCATTTTCTTAGCATACCTTTTTTTCTTTCTATTGACATTAGTTCCTAACAACATGGCCACCACCAATAACTAAGCAGATATAATTGAAAAGGTTGATTTCAGTAAAAAAAAATATTATAAAAAAAGAAAGAAAGATTGCTTCGCCAGATTAAGTAATTAATGCAAAAAGCTCAACTGCAAACTGCATAAAGAATTGGATTAAATAATTTGATTTTCTCTGTTTCACAAGCTACGAGAGAAGCACCAGAATATATATATATATATGTGTGTGTGTGTGTGTGTTGAAATCTTGTGAAGAAAAGGGGTAGGTGAAAAATGAAGATGACAGGGTCAGAAGTGATTCTAAAATTATTTAGCTAAATGCAAACTTTGTTCTTAAGAATGATTAGCACAAAAAAATTCATTGAGGAAAAAAAAAGCTCGGAGTATCATTAGCATAATACTTCTGATAAAATAAATAGTAATCAGCAAAAAATACCAACGATTACTTACCTGGTTTATTTCAAGCAGCTAACTTGGTGATTATAGGTACTTAACCATGCCACGGCCCTCCACACTAAGTTTTGAAGCCTGAAGTTGCTTCTTTTTAGGTCCTTTCAACAGCTGCAGCTTCCTGCTCATCTGAAGATAAACAAAAAATTCGTTATTAATCCAATAAATATAAAAAAAAAAAAAACAACAACAACAAGCTTTTATCCCACTATGTTGGGCGGCTACATGAATCCTTTTTCTCCATTGCGTCCTGTTAAGAGTCAAATTCTCATCTAAATCTAATAAAAAAATGTCATTTCTAATATTTTCTAACCAAGTCTTTTTAGGTCTACCTCTACCTTTCTTAACATTAGTCAAATCTAATACATCTACTTTCCTAACCGGGCATGAGAAGGCTGTCATTTTATGTGACCAAACCATCTAAGGCGACTCTCTCTAATCTTATCTGTCACTGAAGTAACTCAAACCTTTTTATGGATATGCTAGTTTCATATCATGTCTCTAAGAGTAAATCCACTCATCCACATGAGCATCCTCATGTCAACAACACTTAACTTAATATTAAGCTTCTCTTTTAACAGACAACAACCTGCGCCATAAAGCATTGCAGGTCTCACCACCATCTTATAAATTTTTTTCTAAGTTTGAGCGGTACTTTTCTATCACGTAACAAACTCGAAGCATTCCTCCACTTCAACCATCCAACTTGAATTCTACTAATAATATCCCCATCTATTTCACATTCACTTTGAACAATTGACACAAGATATCTAAAGCGAGTACATTTATTAATAACTTGATCGCTCAATGTCACAAATCTCTCACTAGATCTATTACTACTAAAATTACACTCCATGTATTTGGTTTTAGATCTACTCAAACGAAAATCTTTATACTCTAAGGCTGACCTCCATGATTTAAGTTTACCTTCAACTCCCTCTCTAGTCTTATGAACAAGAAGAATATCATCAGCAAAAAGCATACACCAAGGAACAAACTGTTGCAAATGTCTAGTGAGAACATCTATGACTAAAGCAAAAAAATATGGGCTTAAGGCTGATCCTTGATGTAATCCAACTGAAATAGGAAAATACTTGGTCAAACCATCTTGTGCTTGAGCACAAGTAACAGCTCCTGCATACATATCCTTAATGACTTGAATATAAGCATTATTAATCCCTTTCTTATGTAGATCAACTTAATTCCTCTATAATTCGCACAATCTTGTGCATCACCTTTATTCTTAAAAATATGAATCAACATACTCATTCTCCACTCATCTGGTATCTTTTTAGTCTTCAAAATAATATTAAAAAGTTTAGTAAGCCAAGAAATTCCTTCATCTCCTAAGCATTTCCACACCTCTATTGGAATATCATCAGGTCCACAACTTTTTCACACTTCATTTTCTTTAAAGCCTATTTAACTTCGATTTTACTAATATGCCGATAAAAACAAAAATCTTTATTTTCATTTAGGGTGCTAAGGTCACTAAATTCAATCGCATCATTGAAAAGTTCAGCAAAATATCTCATCCACCTTTATTGAATATCCTCCTCCAATAAAAGCACTTTTTGATTTTCATCCTTAATATATTTCACTTTAACTAAATGCTTACTACTCATATCTCTTTGCTTAGCTAATTTATACATATATATTTCGCCCTCCTTAGTATCTAATATATTATATAAATTATTAAAAGCTAAAATCTTTGCATTGCAAATTGCTTTCTTAGACTCCTTATGAGCATCTTTATATCTTTCCCGATTATCAGAGTTTTATAGCTAAACCAAATTTTATAACAAATCTTCTTATTTTTTATCTTTTCTTGCACATTTTGATTCCACCGCCAACTATTTTTATTATAAGTAGTTTTTTTCTTTGATATTCCAAGCACATCTTTTACATCATTCTTAATATCATGTTGACCCTCATAGCTCAAAACAACGTGCGAAAGGACCAAACTGGTGAGTAAAGTGATATGCGCCTTGGCGCCACGTGTCACTTGAAGGATCAAACGACTTTTGATTGTCAAATGGATGGCGCCGTTGCGATCAGGACATCAAATTTTGCTAGGTCGAGGCCCCTCGCAGTCGAATCGGATGAGATCGATCAAAAGGGACGACCGACACCCAAAATTAAGGCGTGAAGCTAATCAAATGATGTCCGATTGACGAACAGACTGCGTCGTTGTGTTCGGAACACCGACAACACCCTAAATGCACTGCCAATTTATTTAGTTGAGGTTGTGCACGCAAATCGAGGCGGCCCCATGTAAAAATAGCTTTGACATTGCTCAAACGACGTCTGATTGACGAATGGATTGCGTCGTTGTGTTCGGAGCACCGACAATACCCTAAATGAACTGTTAATTTATTTAGTTGAGGTTGTGCACGCAAATCGAGGCGGCCCCATGTAAAAATTAGCCTCAACATTGCCCAAATGACGTCTGATCTCAAAACAGTCTGCGTCATTGCGACCGAAACGTCCGCAATACCCTAAATGCACTATCAAATTGTTCTTTTGAAGATGCGCACGCAAATCGAGGTGGCCCATGTAAAAATTACCCTCGACGTCGCCCAAACAACGTTCGATTAAGAAACGAATTGCATCATTGTGTCCGGAACATCAGTAATACCTTAAATGCACTATCAATTTATTGAATTGAAGTGGTGCACGCAAATCGAGACAACACATCTTCCAAGGAAATCAGGCATCGTCGTTGCCCAAATGATGTCCGATCACGAAACGGACTGCGTTGTTGCGACCGGAACATCAGCAATACCCTAAATCCACTATTAATTGATCTAATTTCGAGATTCGGCGAAATCGACACATTAAACGAGGCAATCGGCACGCAGATCGAGAACAACACACAAATCAAGATGATTTTTGACTTATTGGTGCACTCCTGTCATTTTAAATTAATGCTGGAATGATATATCATTAGTATAACTATTAATTTGTAAAAGTTTAACAAGGAGCAGGTGTCAAAACAGAGAAAGGTCAAATGCCCATTAAATGCGGATTACCTCGTTCGGTTGAATTCCTGTAGTTTCCGTCAATCTGAGGTTCAGACAACAGCTGGCCTTAGCAATGTTTTGTGTTAAAAATGAAATGAAGCAGATACAAAATTTTATCTCTGTCGACCCCGAAACAGATACACAAAAAAGCCTCCTGTCCGTCTTCTTTCTACCTTTTAGTAAGCATAGCCGCATAAGTCTCCTTCCCTTCTCATAACCTCAGCCTTCCACCTAAGTTTGTCCCGTCTCCCTCTTCGATTCTTGCTGAAGAAGCCGGAACCACTGAGCTCAGGTAAAAAAAAAATCTCTTCCCATACGGTAACATACACCTTCAACACAACTACTGCAACTCCTCTCTACTTCCTCCTCTGTCCGTTAATTTCCTCATACACATCGCCTGCACTCAAGGACACCTGCCCAAGCTAAAGCCATTCGCAAGCCCTGTATCCATCCGATCCTCGCCGAATAAGAAAAGCGAGTGGAGGCCGGGGACGAATTTTCGGAGCCCACATATCACTAGCAACTTTTTCTCACATAATATTAGCTTTCTAATGCACCGACAAAATCTTAAGATCTACATTCTTACTCTCAAAAGTATTTACATTAATATTCGTTAAATTCCCCCATCTAATCCTAGAACAACGATTTACTTTATTTTTAATTTTCTTCCCGTTCATCTTAATGTCCAAAACTAATAAGTGATGTTGGGTACACAAACTTTCACTCGGAATAACTTTACAATATTTGCAATCTAAATGATCTATTTTCTTATAAGAAAATAATCAATTAGAGCTCCCTTCTTATAAGTGATGAGATGCTCATTTCTTCTCTTAAATAAAATATTAGCAATTACAAAATTATAAGCTAAAGAAAATTATAATATGCTCTTACCACCTTCATTAGTCGCTCCAAAGCCATAGCCATCATGAATACTTTTAAAATTATCTACCTCTCTACCAACATGTCCATTTAAATATCCTCTAATAAAAATTCTTTCTTCAAGAGGTATCTTTTGTATTGATTCTTCTAGATCATTCCAAAATTCTAATTTTGAACACATATCCAAACCTACTTGAGGAGCATAAACATTTATAATATTAATAATCTTAGCATCAACAACAATATTTAAAACTATAATTATATCTCCAATTCTATTAATTTTTATAACATTATCCTTTAAATTCTTATCTATAATCACACCTACATCATTTCTAATACGACTCATACCAGAATATCATAGTTTAAATCCTAAACTATCAATCTCCTTAGCCTTCTCTCTAACCCATTTAATTTCATGAATGCAAATAATATTTATCTTATTATGGATCATATATCTATTAATTATATTAATTTGCCTATAAGAGAACCTATATTCCAAATTCTTATTCTAATTTTAGTTTCATGAACTAGCTTCTTTGCCCACATCTATCCATGATGTGGGAACCCTTGCCTATTTAACACTGCACCCGGGGGCCAGTGCAGCAACCCTTGCTCACTTCTTGCTGTATTCAGGCCATACTATGCGTCGTTTCCAGGAAACATCTTAGTATTACACAATGTATTAAAGAATTCATGTCATGATTATTCCACAACTTTTATACTGACTGCCGACTATCTAATGAAACCCTTCACTTTTCTCATCCAAGACTTGTAATAATTCAATAAATATGATCAACAAAAATCATGTGAAACACAATTTCCAGTAAATTTTATAATTTCCATTTCATAACTGCCTTTGAAAAATGTTTTGACAAAATGAATGAGATTGGGGAAGGAGGATTCAAGCTGCCCCCAAATATATGGGATAATACTCATGATGATAATTAACCAGCTTAGCAGAATATTGGAAGAATTGTTCAAATAATTGTTGTATCCCCACAAAGCCAAACTTCATTTTTGTCACCGCCTTTAATACATGATGAAATCCTGATCCTAGTGTCAACCACATCTAAAGGGGCAATGTCAGTAAGATAGAACATAAGACAATCCTAACTTTATAGACTGTAATGCTACAGAACGCCATCTGTTTAATTTTTTGAAATAAAACAAACTAGGTAGAAGAATCAAATCGAAGATGCATAGAGTTCAGCTGCTTGAAAGAGGGCGAAAATAGAATAGTTATGATTAATTATTCAACAAATTTGAAGTTCTAGCTGAAACCAGTACTTGAATTCAATTTGGCCTCTGAGTCTGAATTCCCTCGTCAAGAGAGATTATTTTGTATGGACACCGACGGGAGAACCGAACGGTACCGACGCTCGGTACTGCTCGGTACCGAGCGCAGTACACATTTGGGGTGACACATTTTTATTGGCCTCTGGACGACGTCCGGACTCCGCACAGAATAATTTTCCCCTCGTTTAAGAGAAAAGCCGATAGGCTGAGGGAAATTCATTTAATAATTGTGAAAACAACTTCAGATACTTTGTATCCAGACTCACTAGAGGCTCTGAGTGCTGCTCATGAATTTCAACTTTCATGACATAAAATACTCTCCACTTTGATAAAGCATGAAGTTTTAGGATAATTTCAAAGGCAAACCACTAAATTGCACAATAAATTTGCTGTGTGACTGAGTAACATTGGACAGTACAAACTTCCTAAAAGCACAATATGGTCCTCAATTTCGGTTGTCACAAACCTCTCTAGGTTATCACATCCCAGATCAACCTTAAATCAGTCCAGCCATTCTGGTTTTAAAATCAAACTTGAGATCACCAAGAATTTTTCAAATCAACTATAGTCAATACCTCAAATAGCTAAAAGTAGCAATAAGTATAAAATGCAAAAGACCATAAATTAATAAGCATCTTACTGGGGGACTACTGCAATTTTTAAACCAATACTGCATATTTGACTTGCCCCAAATAAAGAAATTCTTCTTTGCATTCGTATACACAATAAAACTTGAATCTAAACTGTCCCTCTGGTTGAAGCGCAAAACAAAGAAGAAAATTCTCAGTGCAAGCTGCTAAAATCACTACAGTGATATAAAGTTAACATACAACCTTATCCCTTCAAAATAGACTGACTATGGCCTGACACAAACTTCAACCACTAGGCCCTCATGAGGTAGCTTACCCATTACTCCAACGCCCACCCGAATTTCAAAAGCAAAAATGATAACTAGATCACGTAACTGCTGTCTTGCATGAATGTTGTAAATATACAAGCACATCATACTACTGTTGTAGCAATGTACAATAATTGTGACATAATATAAGACTACTAGTGCAAGTAGGATAAATAATGATGTAAAACATACAGGCAAGGATGAGTAAATTAAGGAGTTTGCACGCTTAATATTTAGAGCACAATAATTATAAACTTTACGCCTTGCCATACAAGTTAGTAAGCTTGTAATAAATGGTGGTGAATCTGAATTTTAAACCATATCTTTTAAATTTGCCACTGCTCCTGTTCTAGAAAAATCAATCTTCTGTAATTTTTAAGTGATGAGCTTAACAGGAACATTATCCTATACCAACTTTTAAGTGATGAGCTTAACCTTGCCATACAAGTTAGTAAGCTTGTAATAAATGGTGGTGAATCTGAATTTTAAACCATATCTTTTAAATTTGCCACTACTCCTGTTCTAGAAAAATCAATCTTCTGTAATTTTTAAGGAAAATAAGATATATTTATACAAGTAAAAAAATCTCAATTGCACATTAGCCCTTTTATATTAAAAAAAATATAATAATTCAGTAAAAAAACTGATTCTACAATGTTCATAAGCAAGGAAATGAACCTTTTGACGCCGCTGATTTTGCACAGCTTGTTTAGCCCGAGCTCTTATTTCTTCGGGATCTATTTTTGATTGTGGACGCACAACAAAATCTAAGGGTAATGCTTCTGGCCGAGAAGCATGTTGTCTAGAAGCAGCCTGACGGGATTTTTTCCCCCTAAATCCAATGAATAATCAGGCAACATGAATAAATACACCAAACTGCTAAAAAGATACTAGAGGCATCCCAGGGAACTTACTGAGAAAATTCATCAAGATCTTCGTCTCTAGATTCCTGTTCCGGAGATTTGTTCACAGGTCTTTAAATGGAATATAGATGGAGCCACAAGGTTAAAGTACAATGTCAAATGATAAATTACTCAATGTATATTAACTTCAAAACATGAAATAGAAGAGGAGGGTATCAGTACTTTGGAGCTGGCCTCCTATAAGGAATTCTCTCATCCTCATAACTCCGCATGTCCTCAAATCTAGTGCTCTTGTTAAATATTGGTCGGCTCTGCAATTTTTTTACACAATTCCAAATGACCAGTATTATCAATTCAAAGTACTTCAAATCAAAAGCTTAATAAGAGCCAAGCCAGAACAGGAAATACCACAAGTCAGAATTGGATCATGACAATCACATTAAGTTAAACTATTATGCCTAATTAGCAATCATACCAATGCACAACGCATCAATGTCTAGGATTTTCTTAATCCAAACTAATGCAAATGTTATTATGAAAATTAAAAACAAACAATAAGAGCATACTTTTGTTTTAATTACCAAAGTAAACTGCAAAAACTAGTGCATAGAAAGTACCTAAATTAGTTTCGCACGAAAACAAGCAGCATAACATAATTATTTACTACCAAGGCTGACCAAAAGAAAATAAAAGAAACTTAAGTTGGCATAAATTGGCGACAAAAACATAAAATGGAATAAATTTAAAACAAAATTTAAGGTCATATTAAATTATTATAGAGGCAAAGATTTCATGTTTAGAATCAGAATCCAAATATGTAACAGATATTAATAAATCCAATCGTTTGTTGCAAATAATAATGAAAGAGGATAGCAAGGGGAAGATAAATAATAAAAAGGGGAGCATAAAACCTAATATTTCAATTCTTGCACTTGATCAAAGAGATCACTCCTGGAAGAATTTCAAGAACCGCACTTGATCAACAAAGGAATTTCACATTCAACCAAACTTTCATTAATCGGTATCCAAAAATATTTCTAGTCTGGTCATCATATTTATAATAAGGTGTGAAACAGCAGAAAAAACCATCAAAAAGTAACAAAATTCAGATATAAAGCTAAATTTCTACTCAACAATCAAATAGATTATAAGCTGCCCGGATTACTTTGTAGAGAGGACAAAATTTATGTCCTAATTCACTTGATGTATACCAAAAGACAAATTTTGAACTGCATTAGTCAAAGTTGGGCAGATTGATGCAAATTTGCATGTTTATTCTCATTGGAATCATGCCATCAAGCAATAAGCTGAGCAAAGTTTATCTGCTTAATTGATTTATTTTATTATTTTACAACTCCAGTAGTTTGGGTTGTCTTTGATGATGACCTTCGGAAGGAATGTATCTGTTGATTCCTAATGTTAGGTTTGTCTATAAGGCTTGATATGAAATCAAATCCACTTGGTTCTTGAATAACTTCAAGTTCAACCCTTATGTTCAAATCAAGTATTACCTACAACTTCTATTGTGTTGATGTTATCAAAAAAAAAAAAAATCATTAAAGCCAAATTTTTTCAAATCTGGTATATTGATATAAGCTTAGTTTTTCATTTTCTCAGAATTGTAATCGCCTCTTCAATTGTTTCTATCTATTGAAAACTGTCGGGTGATGTTGCTGTTAGCTATTTTCTTAGTATTGTTACCGTTTGTCTACCGCTACCTATATATATTGTTACAGCTTAAAAACGTATTCATGGGATGTGAGTTCTATTCATAAGAATAATTTGAGGTAGCTGTTTAAATTTTTTATTTCTAGATAATATTAAATATCGAACTTAAAACTTATTAATAATATGATTGGGCTAATCTTTTACCACCCCTATACGCTAACCAAAAGAGAAGTAGTCTACAAATAGTTTTTATGAGGCAAGTAAATTATCTTTGATTGGATAAAAAATATCTTCATCCAGTTTTCTATTTTAAGTGTGAAAGTTGGATGTGTAATTAATTTGAGTGTAGTGCAAATGCGAGTACCACATTTCAAGGAAGTCATCTCCTTGTAGTCCTTTGAGGCATGAATTTTTAACTTTGTTAACTTCTTTCCTTGACTTCATTTCTTCTACAGACCATATTTTTGTCTTGTTGGTGCTCTTGATTTTGTTAAAACCTGGCACAATCGGGAATCTATTTTTGGCGATTAAATTATAATTACACATTAATTTTACGTAGTTAAAAATTTCTGATTATTTTCTCAGGATTTATTCGATCATTGCAATATTTATTGGGTTATAACTCTTATATTTATTGTTTATATTTATAGAAAGTTATTATCTTAATTAATGGCTTCTGATCTACAAATCCTTTAAGCTCGCTTGCATGATTTGCATACATCATGTCATAATAATTGCATTAAGAAATCTAAACCTTGAATCGCCCTACATCACGGGAACTAGTTTCTATTGTCATGCCATAAGGTATAATCAACGATATTTCCATCATGAGTTATGATCGAAGTACACCTTACAATAGAAGAAATCATATGTTTAATTTTGTTAATTATGTTTAACAACAAAAAGTTGGCAGCTACTCTAGTAAAGGCTGAAATATATCCAAAAATGGTGAAGTGTGATGCAGCATAACATTGCGACCACAATTGTAGCCTATCAGTTATGTTTTACATACCCACTTATCAACTAGCTCTTTAGCAAGCTTCTTATTAGCTGTTGTCTCTTCATCAGATCTCGACAAAAACATAATAACCTGTGCAAGGAAAAGAGCAATTGTACATGTTATTGTTCATTAATTGAGCATATATACAACTTTGTTTCAGTGATAATCAAGCCTAACCTTCCCAAGGCCGCTTTTCTTTAGTTGTTCTCTCCGATCATACTGCTCTAAATCAATAGGAAACTGAAGTGCAACAACAATTTATCATCAAGAAGAATAAATGGATGAGTACCTCAAAAAAGAATGAATTATCTAAAATCGTTCACAGAAAACTTTTCATAGATGGTACAACAATCTCCACAAATATTAGCCGCAAACACTGTAACAAAAAGTAACCCCCAATTACACCAACAATAAACGTAATCAATGAGAGGAGGACTATACATACATCAGATAGTAACTTTAGTATGGCAGTTCGAATATTCGTATTAGGTAAGCTTCCATCTGGCAAAGGTTCTAGCCAGTTCTTTAGAAGTGTAAGTACTCCATGATCTAAAAATTCAAGCTGAAGTTTCTTCCTGCAATAGAAATGGCACAGGAAAAGTGAGTTCAGCGAAAAGAATAACATTATGAAAATTATTTAAAGTAATGGTAAACTGAAATGTACATTAAGTGAAAGAAATACTGCTCAGGTGCAGGTATCTGTCTTACTTAGAAAGAACTTCTATAAGAAGTGGTAGCTTCTTAAGTTTATTAATAGCTGGCTTGTTTTGCCTATTCAGTTCAGCATCTTCTTCAGCAGTAACTTCAAGTTCAGCCATAAGATCTTCAACAATCATGGCAAGCTCAGCAGGTGATTTTTCATTTTTCTTCTTCCTTTTACCACCCTTAAAGAGCTTATTCATCTCATTATCCTCTTCTGCCTATAATGCCATCACAAAATGACAGACAAGCAAATAATATCAGCAAAGAATGAAGACTGCATGAGCGGAGCTAACAAAGTAAATCAATGGGAGCTTAAGTGCAAAGTTTAAAAACTTCTAGCAAAACATTATTCCATTATTCAATAAAGCCCTTGAACCGCACAATAATAGCCAAAGAAATTATCAAATCAAAGTACAAATTGCTATATCAGAAAATATATATATTTTGACCAAACTAAAGAATTACAAAACTGCAAATAAGAGAAGTAAATGTAAACCTGTGGAGCATCCCCAATAGATCCAGCTTCATTGTCACTAACATAGCGATCAACTTGATCAACCCCAGTATCATCAATGAAAGCATCATCATATGCAGTTCTAGCACCTTCTCGGTCATCCTATTAGTAACATGGTACAAATGGTATAAAAGGAGATCATTGTGTAACCAATATAATAATAAGCATACAAAAAACAATGCAAAAAAGAAATTAAAAAACATGGAAGCAGTCCATTTCACGATCAATAGCTGCAATTGATTCCCTAGCTTGGGAAATATAAATACTGCAAAACAAAGAAACTAAATCGAGCATCCTCTGGCACAACGGCTGGCGCATTACAGATATCTATAGGGGATGTCATAGAACATCACAAAATTATTACAATAGATCTATAAGCTACAATGTTCAGCAAAAAGTATCTTTGTGATGACTAATGGCTTTAGCAAAGAAACAAAGATGTTGGTGGGGTATAATTTAAATACTCTCATTGTATTTTCCAAAATGGTAATTTCTTTTGCATTAGACAACACATGCTAGCACGCAAAAAAAACATCTATTTCATTGGATCACTAATGAAGCATATTAGAATGTATTTCATTGGATCACTAATGAAGCATATTAGAACCTAGGAGTCAAACCTGAACTCTTAAATTGGACTTTTTGGACCATGTACAAATTCTCCGCAAAAGACTATTTTTCACTATCTTTATAAGCTTCCTACTCATGATCAAAATGTTCAGTTTACCTGATGTATAAAAGCTCAAACAGCTACTACTGAGGAGATTGAAGCTTATCACCAACAACTCTCTCAAGTACAAGAATTCACAATAAATTTGAGGGCCTAACCATCAGTCCTAGAAATGAGTCCCAAACAATTTTGTGTTGTGTATTGGCAGGGGAACTAGCGGCAATGCTGAGAACAGCTTGCAACCATAACAATAATGGCATATCAATGGCCTGGGAGCAACTCTTTCACATCTACTGGACTAACATCCTCTAAGAAATTCAAATTAATGAGCAGGTTTAGTGGCCTCAATAGCTTAAAATGTCGGCTTCAGTCAAAATCAATAATGAATAACACCACAATGGAGGACATACCATTGAGAAGAGTAATCAATTTAAGAAAGAGATCAAGAATTTCAATCGTCAACACTAAGTTGATTCACGGTCATCAACACTAAGCAATTTGAAATTGCCCCGAGCATCATCAATCCCCTCCTTGAAACCATCAAGGTTCTAGTAAGTGAGAACACGATCATCAATAAAGGTCCCTTGTTGAATCATGTCTTCACTACACTAAATGAGAATTGACCACAAGTATCATAAAATTGATAATCCAATCTAGTTGGACAATTCATATCATAAATATGGGTTTATGCTCTTCGGTAAAACACACTAGCAAAAAAATCTAAAAATGGCTAAATCCTCTGATATATCTAACAATTTCATTCTAGAATCACCAGCACCCATAATATCAATATCCTTGATTTAAATGGTGGTGAATAAATCACCATTGAAGACTTGTTCCATGTTCCTCTATGTGATGAAAACCTAAGTTAAACTATTCAAGTTATACATTTTTTCCCAATAGAATGTCAACTTCTACCATGAATACTTTTAAAATCATCTACCTCTCTGTCAACATATTCACTTAAATCTCCTCTAATAAAAACTCTTTCTTCAAGAGATATCTTTTATATTAATTTTTTAAGTCAATCCAAAATTTTAATTTTGAACACATATCCAAACATAATTGAAAATCATAAGCACTTATAATATTAATAATCTTAACATCAATATAAATCTTTAAAGCTATATTTTTATCTCCAATTCTACTAATTTTTACAACATTATCCTTCAAACTCTTATCCATAATCACACCTACAGTATTTCTATTATGACTCTTACCAAAATATCATAGTTTAAAACTTAAACTCTCAATCTCCTTAGCCTTCTCTCTAACCCATTTAGTTTCTATAATGCATAGAATATTTATCTTCCTATGAATCATAATATTTATTAATTTCATTACTTTTCCCATAAGGGGATCTATATTCCAATATCATATACTAATTTTAGTTTCACGGACTAACTTCTTTGCCCATATCCATCCATGATGTAGGAACCTTTGCCTATTTAAAATTGCACCTGAGCACTGGTGCAGCAGCCATTGCACACACTTCTCATTGTATTCAGGACATACAAAGAGTCGCTTTCAGGGAACGACCTAGCTTAATACAATATATTAAAGGATTCATGTGCAATCAAATATTTAATAAACAATCTACAATCAATGGGTTCAATATGGATCATACAATGGAGTGTTTTGGATTTGACTAAATTTTCAAAAATGTGTCTCTCAAAAAGCTACAAATAGGATCTTATTATCTGCATGAGCGGGAGATTTAAGAGCTGAAGAACTCTAAAGCAATTTTGGAAGATCACCACTGAGAACCACTATTAGCAACTACACCACCATCACCAAATTTCTGTCATCCAACTATTTTCACTTGATCATTAACATACAATTCTATTGTTGGCTTTTATGTCCACTTGTAGGCAATTGATTTATGTAATCCCTATATCGGGGAATCTAATAATTACATTCAACTATATATAATCTCATATTTCTCAATTGTGATGAATGGTTATTGTATCTCTAATTATATAATGAATTATAACAACAAGGCCAGGCTCTTGATTTTTCCCATTTTTTTAATTTTTCATGTAAAATATTTACTTATTTTTCACAACTTTTATCTGAGCATACTAGATCTTTATACAAAGCTAAGATAATAAATATACACTCTACCACTGCAAATTTTCTAACACATAACAGTAATGATGAGCTATTAAAGGACGAACGGATTGTTGAGAACAAACATAAACTCATGCCATCACAATTACAAGAGAATGATATCAATGTTGACTTCTTTGATGGAGCAAAGACTCAAAAATATCAATGTTGACATCTTTGATATCAATGTTGACATCTTTTGATAGAGGAAGGAAACTAGCATAAGTCAACAAAAAAGTAACATAAACGGTTGGTATTAAATTAGATGTAATAGGAGTTATAATCATTTGTATAGTCATTGCTTCAAATTTTAATTAATATTTTAATTGATTTTTTATTATATGGGTAAGAGAAAGATGGTTGATATTGAAGATTATGAGGAAGATTCAAAGTTGTAATAGAAGTTATAATCATTTGTATGGTCATTGCTTCAAATTTTAATTAATATTTTAATTGATTTTTTAATATATGGGTAAGAGAAAGATGGTTGAGATTGAAGATGATGAGGAAGATTCAAAGTATGTTGATATAACTAAGGATAAGGGAGGAGAAAAAGCAATTATTTGTAATGAAAAATATAATAAAGACCTAAGTAATGGAAGTGGGGGAGACTTTTGAATTTATAAATTATAATCTAAGATTTTTTTTTATGTTGAATTAGGTGTTTAAGAGACTTATTATTTAGTATTTGTAGCCTCGTATGACTTTTATGATCTTACTTTGATGTTAGTATGATGCTTATTATTTGCATTTTTCATAAATTTAATTATTTAATTTTCAAGCCTACTCCTCAAAATGATTTAAGACTTACACCTCATCTCACAAAAAGAAAACACCTCAATATCTAATTGCATAATGTCAAACTTTGAAAAAGATGATATTTCAAATGATGGAATCAAGGAGGCTTAGGTAAAGATTGATCTAGTATATTCCTAAAATCTACTTGTGTTTTGTGACCCAAAAAATATCCTTCAACTTTTTCATGTTTAGTATAAGTTATATCAAAAGTTTTCAAAATAGAGGCCTACAATATTATATTTCTTTATGCCATCCTCTTTAAGTTTAATATATTTAGGCCAACAATTAGTTGCACATTTAAACCCTAGATAGATTACAAAAATAAATTTCAACAACCAGCAGGCTCCTACATCTGCCCATATCATATATTTAGGGAAATAAGTAAACAAAGGAAAGATACATCATATTTCATATATTTAATAAAATGATTCATGGATATAAAATGCTCAATAGAAACCATCCCAAAAACCTACAACCAAAATAAGCGTCTCCCCTCATTTTAAATTTTACGTGAAAACATCAGTTTAGCCTTTAGAGATTGGTATTAAAAACTGAAGAAGAAAAAAAAAAAGATATTTAACACTTAAAAACACATGCACCAGTGATAATATGATTGAATTCTTCTCATATAACTCAAGATATTAGCCAAAAAAGAAGAATCACTTAGCTAGAGATAAAGTTATTGGTATTCATAATGGCATCAAAAAAACGTATAATAACCCATCGGATAGCCTACAAACCAAGGAAATCACTGGCATTATCTGTGGTAATGCAGTACCATATCAGATAACAGCCAAGTAACTTTAGTATCATAAGTGATGGAAACGAAATTCAAAATAAAGGAAAGAAACTTCATGAATACCTTGAAATGTTTGTAAACAACAATGCAATGCAAGCACAGTAACAGAAATTCAAACACATTGAGGGAAAAAAAACGGGACCTCTGAATCATCACGAGCAATAGTGTCCCATAACTCCTGCACCTCAGGATCACTTTCATGGTCAGCCGAACCAACTCCATAACCCTTTGAACCCGAGGAGGATGCTTTTCCAGAAGATCTGCCTGGCTTTTGCAACGCTTTCCTCCTCTCCTTCTTACTGCTCGAGTCATTTCCCATTTTTTCCGAAAATGACTTCTTTTTCCTCACCGGCTCCTCCTCTTCCCAATCATCTAAATCCTCCCCACCAAACGCCTGCCCAGCCGGGCTTCCGCTATGCTCAGGCGAGCTATCCTTAGCGCCCTTCTTGATTAGCCTCTTCCTCGGCTTTCCAACCTTGTCTTCATCATATGTTGGTGTAGGCGACCGTTCCCTCCGCCATTCGTCGCCGCTTTCATCGTCAATTTGATTCCCGGTGTAAGGCGAAGCCTCCCTATCGGACGGCAAGTCATCAGGATCCATAAGAGCTTCTCCATCCTCATCAATGTACCTGACGTATAAAAATGCAAAAAAAAAAAAACAACAACAACAAGACAAAAAAAATAAGCAGCTGGAAGGAATATTTGGAAACCCTAGGAATAAGATGAAGCACGTACGGATCGTTCTCGTAGCCCATGGCACCGAACAGAGGAGAAAAGATAGAAAAAGATTAGTGGAGAAAAATCAGGATAATCGAAAGTCCGCCTTAATTGGCTGTTTGGTAGCAAGATTGGAGAAAGATTTAACCCGCTCTCCAATGTTAGACCCTGCCAAATTGTGAAAAAAAAAAAAAAACTTTGAATCCTACAGTTTCCCCAATCCCGTTTCTCCACCTTTTCTTTGTAAATCTAGCATTTCAAAAATCCAGCTACTCGGTGGATTTAGTTGGATTTAGAGCGAAGGAACAGAACAGCGCTGCGCCGTTCTCGCGATCTAATTCCACGTCACAATCTCTTCCTGGTCGAAGGTCAGGTCCTCTCCGCACCGCTTCGCTCAAACTGACCTCCTTTGAAATAGCCCTTCCCAGGTTACTCTACTCCAACGAGCGTCCCTTCCGCCCTCCGGCCGTGACTTCGACACCTTTGTTTTGCCGTCCACGACTTCGGGATTTTGGGCAGGGGCGCAAAGGAGGAGTCGAGGGCTCTGGGTCGAACTTTTATTTTGTCCGGTCACCTGCGTTCGTTAGCCAGTAAAAAATAGTGTCATGTGTAACTAAAATTTAGAATAGAGACAGAATTGTTCTGTTCACGTATTGATTGATATTGTTTGATATTTATTCGGTATTTGTTAGGTATTGATCGATTTTGTTCCGTAATAATGAGAAATATCATTCTGTGAAGACTAATACCGATCAATCCGAGAAATACCGAGCAATACTGAGTTTTTCTCGGTATTGCCTGATATTGCTCGGTATTTCTCGGTATTGCTCGGTATTGATCTTCACAGAGCAATATTTTTCATTATTGCCAAGCAATACCTAGCAATACCGAGTAATACCTAGAGCAATACCGAGCAATATGCGAACATAGCAATCCCGGGTCAAGTCATCGGGCCGCACGGTATTGAGTAAGACCACGTGGCGACATGTTATTGGTGTCAGAACGTAGAGCTACGTCAGGTCACCTGACCTAATAATTAGAGGAACATCTTTTAAGTGGTTAATATTAAATCCCACTAAATTAAATTGTATATATTTTAAATTAATATTATTTAATGTAACTATGATATTTATTTATATAGTCAAAAAAAATGTAAAAGAAATATTACTAAAAAAATTATAGGAGAAAAATAATGAACTTCAAAAAGAATGTAATGTATTTATTTTATTGAGATATTTGAACTAATTAAGTCATACTCACGCACATTATATACATATCGAACCCAAAATCTCTTGATTAGTAGTCAAAGCTCTCAACCAACAAACTTAAAATTAGATGTACAAGTACTAAATTATCACAAGTAATGAATGAGTAACTCAAAGCGCAATTGTCAAGAGTAGTGAACGAGCTCTCTTATTGTGGTTTTCCCCTTATCTCTTTTTGGTTTTTCATTCTTCTTCTCTTTTCATGCTTCTAATCTCCTTTATTTACTTCTAGGTAGCCTTGGCTTCAACTACTTATGATTTTTTTTCTCTTGGCTATCCCTCATATGGATGATTCATTTTTTTCTCATTTATAAACTTGTTATTTTTTTGATGTTTTCCTTGCGCTCCTGCATCTCTTAACTACTCCTCTTAGTTTCCTTCATCTTCTAACATCTATAACCTTATTTTCATGATTGAAAAGGTTTATTGACTTCTCATATGCCTTTTGCGCCATACTTCTTCGCTTTAAGATTTGTTCTTGTTCCATTAAAAATGTATGTTTCTTTGAAGTTGATATCAATGAAGATGAAAAACAATGGAACTTTGTGATGGTTTTTTCATAATGTACGATCTTACTATCATTACAATACTGATTTATTATTAGTGTATTGATTTATTGTTATTATTACTGCACTACTTTGCTCTTATTATAGCCAATGACACTGATACTAATACTATTATGATATGATTACCAATATTGTATGTTGATTTATTATTATTGGTTAGGAGATATACTGGATACGCTGCGTATATGATTAATATACTAAATAGATACTAATATGGTATATATATATATATATATATATATATATATATATATATATACATATATTAAAGTAGAGTAAATTCATCTATGTGGTTATTCAACCACTCAATTAAATTCACAGTGCAGTAAGCAATATTTTTTAAGTATCAATCAAGATAATATAACAATACATAAGCATAAAAATATGCACTTCATATTCATATATCAGAAGAGAGAATTTTCGTCAATCTCTATGTTAGCATATCAAATGATAGGCCTTGATGACTCCCGATCCCAGATGTATAGCATTACATATATTCATACATTTTAGACTCTTATGCATAGAGAAGATAATACTTCAAAACTTCATATAAACCTGAAAATTTTATTTTGATGCACACATTTCAATAATATGAACACATAAATAAATACATTTTCAAATAAAATATATTTTAGAGTCATCACAGAATTTCACAAAGTGTCCTATTAGTAATCGAATAATTAAATTTTTTGGAGAAAAGCCATATATGAAATTTAATGCTTTCAAAATTTTAGTAGATTTCACAGGCTCTTGTACACACTATATTGGAGCTTATAGACAATGAGTACATGCCTATTCGCACTGTATACAAGATTGTACACTATTGTATAAGCATGTGGTAACATTGTACAAAGTATATACAATATTGTACACAATGTGTACAACCTTGTACACAATTGGTACAAAGCTTGTATACACCATGTATAATATTATACAATGTGTAAAAGCTTTTCAATATGTACATCTCATGTTGTACAAGCTTATGATAATCTTATACACAGTGTATACAATGCTATATACATTGTGTACAAGCCTGATTTATTAAACAAATATTACTATCACAAGCTTGTATATATTATTATAATAAGAATCATAAATAAAAATAAAAGTATAAATATTATCGGGAATCATTTAAACCTGGTTATCACTAAGATCCCTAAATATGTCTAAGATCTGGATGGCAAAAATAAATGTGCCTTCCCCATCAAAGGAAATGGGGTATTGAGGTAGTTATTATAGGATCAACAAAAGATGTGTGCTCTAGAAATAAATTTGCATATAATCAATAGGTAGTATTTAAAAAAGGAACAAATCTACCATTAAAAAATCCACAATTAGTAATATAATCATAGAGAGTATTCAATATTAACAAAGGAACAAATCCACTCATATATCATATGGCTATATCATCAACATACTTCATCATCATACGATCAAATTGAATAACTAAAAAAATCTTAACTGATATATCCCAATAATACCTTGTGAACTCATCTACATTATGGGCAGTAATAATGAACCTCTTTGGGGGCCTCTTTGGAGTTCTATAGTTATTGTTGGGAAAAAATAAATTGAACAACAAAAATTTGATGTACATATTTACAATACGACAGGGGCTTGATTTGTCAATATTCTTCATTTAATTTTTAATTTCAATTCTAGTATATTTAATTAGTGTCTCAAGTTCCCAGTATATCAAATCACCCTTGTTTAACAAACCAATCATTCTAGCCACTTCATCTATTGTTAATTGCATGTCATGTCCTTTGATTTTGAATGCTTTATCAGGCACATCCCAACATGCTAACAACATGTAGATTAGGGGTGTATTTTTTTAAAATGAAAGAACTAAGTAAATTGAAATATGTGTATCATCTTCAAAGCGTCCTCCAGTTCATCGGGCAATATCCCTTTTAAATAGTCGCATAAAGATCTAATTGTTGATGATCTACAATGAAAATTAACATTTGGGATGTACATATGTAACAATAAAAGTTTAAATTATTTTTTAATTTATCTTATATAAAAACTTTAGAAGATTGAATAATTTTGTTAGTAATATATGTGTACATGATTGTACACATTGTTTACGCTGCTAACAAAAGCTTGTACACCATATATAGTATATACAAGCTCTTGTACATAGTATGTATAAAGCTCTTGTACATGAGCTTATATAGTCGACGTACAATACTTTGTATACATGATATATAAGATCTTGTACACATTGTGTAAAAGTGCTCTAGATTTTTCTTATACATAAAAGCTTATAAAATATTTTTTTTGCTCACCATATTTATTAACATTATATTCAATATAATATAAAATAAAACAATATATTGATAACTAAAAAAAGTAATCATTTATATTTAATTTAACATTTTTTATTTTTAATATCATCACTGATATTTTCATTCTTCTCATTATCAAACACATTTCTCGATTTTTCAATTTTATTTTTTTTTTAATATTTTGTTGTTATCATCTATTAATCATTAGAAAATATATCATTCTACTAATTATAATATTGTGCAAATTGTGTAAAAGAGTTTGCACATATTATATACAATATATTGTACACTGAGTATACAAGGGCTTATACAAACTATGTACAAAGGGCTTGACCCTACATCACTGCCTTATGCATAAAGTATATAAGCAAAATTACAAACAATGAATTATTCTGTGTGGAGTCAAAACAATAATTGCAAGGTTAAATGTAATAAAGTTGATTGTAAAACTGGTTGTATGAATAGTCTGCGTATGGACTTCACACAAAATAATTTCTCTAGTTACAAAAAAATCCAAAATACTAAATGGAGGCTTGCCATTCATGACTTTAAAGTGTTGATATTAAAAAATTGATAAATAGAAACGATACATAAATTTAAATTTACATGAAATAAATAAATAAAAACTATATGTCACACCTTAGTAAAAAAATCCATGTGGTTGCACAAAATAAATTGATCAAAAAAGTACGTGTCAATCACGAATAGAGTCCGGATGCAAAGTGTTGTATTCGGATTCTGGACATAATAATTTCTCCTATTATGGACTGTAATTATTTACCAAAAACCATCATTCGGTTGTAGATCACCAATACCCTAATCTAAAATTTTAAGTTTATATAATAATAATAATAATAATAATAATAATAATAATAATAAGGTTAAAATGATAGTCAAGGCATCTAATTTGAAAATATAGGTCTAGAGCCTTAGGCTTGAGTCAACCTCCAGTCATATTAGCTCAACCCTATCAACAATCAGGCTTGTCGCCGGCCGAACCGCCACGGCGCCACCGGCGTGTCGATCCACCAACGGGCAACTCCATCTATTATCCGTATCTTCCTTCTGCATTTCAATGATTCCCCAGGCAATTCCGACTGTTCCCTCTATCGCATCCATCATTCTCATGAACAAGCCCATGGCAAGCACGGCTGTTAGTGGCTTCTCTATCGTGCGCTCCGCCGCCTACCCTCCGCTCTGCATCGTCCTCTCCCGCCATTTTTTACGCATCCGTTTTCCCTCGCCGGGCGCAACGTTAAAGTTATCTCACTCTCAAATGTTTCCATCCAATTTCCTCACCCCACAATTCCATGGCGGCCATTCTACCTCGCATGCCCACAGCCTTGTTGACTACGTTATGGAGGAGCTGCAAGCCATGCGTTCGATGAGGCGTGTCCGCCCGACCAAGAGGTATATTTATCTTCTTTACAAAAATTTGTCCTTTTTATCTTGGGAATGGTTTCATCAGTTGCATTGATAAATCGCAGAGTGGAGTTAGCGAGCTCTCCGGAGTTACTGGAGGTTAAGCAGGCAAAGAGATCACTTCAGAAAGGCTGTTTGCTTGAATTTCGGAAAGATACACAAAAGCTATTGCTTGCTGTGGCGCAGAAACCTGATGGGAAGAAGAATTGGATAGTTTGCGATCAGGTTTTACTAGAAACAGCCTCTGCAGCTTGTTGAATTGGTTACTAGGTGTACACTTGTTTTTGTTTATTTGCTTATTCATGTACATGTTCTTTCTAAACATCCTGCATTCTGCAGTTCAGTATAATCTGAGTTATTGTTTTTGATAGTTTATATATAATGCTATTTTAATTTATGAAGTCAGAATGGGGTCATGTCCTCTATCAAGCCTCAGCAAGTCACCTATATTGTTACTGGCTTTGAAAGCTTCGATCACAGAGATATTCCTGATTTTCTCCAGAAAGCTCAGAGTCTCTTGGTAAGTAGAAATTTGTGGCATGTTCCCTATTTGGGCCTTTGCAAAGGCATTTTTTTATTTTCTTTTGTGTTTTGCATGGTTTTCTCGAAGGACCCGGCTATGTTGGAGTGTGCTTGGGAGGAGCTTTTGGAAAATAATAGGTCGGTGACACCCGAAGAATTAGCGGAGGTTAGACTTTCTTGAACAAGAACGAAATTTTTCTGACGAGAACTTCTCACTTTATAATATATCCATGAGTTCAAGAAGAAATCCAGTCATCCAAGGCTCTACTATAGTACACTATTGGCATGCTGGATGCAATTAAGCAACTAAGACTTTGGAATGGGTTTCCAATCTTCATGAGCCACAAAGGCTGAACTATGCATTTGCATTCATCAAAACCTACTACAAACTATTAAAGTAAAGAAAGGGAAAAACCCTTAAGCAAAAGAAGCAAAATAACTATCTTCCTCAAGAATATCAAAAAATTCTTGAGGAATGTTACAATTATCTCTATCTCCTATATCCCAAACAAAAGTATCCTCTATAGCTTCATGAGCCACAAAGGAGGGAGAAATTATTAGGTGCGGACACCGGACAGAGAGAATCATCCGGATTTCTCTTTGTCTACAGTAAAAGCGCAGTAACTGTGCTTGGATTGCGTTTTTACTATAGACATAGAGAAATCCGAATGATTCTCTATGTCTGGTGTTTGCCAAGGAGGAGGGATTCCATGCAAGGCAGCAAGCACAACACACATACACACACAGTCTTTTCCACATGTATTCCTGGTCTTACAGTTGTCTTCCTATCAAAACTTTGAATAACTAAATAAAACTATCTTTTATTGTTTCCAGGTTATATATGGCAGCAGCGAGCCTCTTGAGAGCTATTGTGCTCATCTCTTGCTATCAGAAAATGATATTTATTTCAATCAAGTTGAGTCTAAAGGATATTTACCTGTTTATGAACCACGCCCTACTATACAGGTACTGCTATAATTCTTTTTTTCTTTTTAGTATTGTAGAAGTTTCTATACTGTCGTTGATGCAGCGAAGATCGTCGACTGGAGTGGAAGTGACGAAGGTCGGCGGCGATTAACCTGGAAGGAGTGTTAGCGGGGGAAAACAGGAAATAAACAGAGGAGAAGAAGAGGAATAAGGGGGAGGAACAGCTGAACGGCTGTGTATAATTTTTGATTGTAAAGTTGTCTGATTACAATTGCTTTTGCTTCCTCTATGTATCTCCTCCAGGTGTACTAAAAAAGGTGTAACAAGCTAAAAGATAGTATTAGTACTATGCTGTATGAAATAGAAACTAGGTAGTGGAAATGTGCTATAAACTGTTATAAGGATAAGCTGTCCGGTAGGACAGTTTTGGGAGTAAACCTGCTCCGCATCAGTCGTTTTCAGAAATTATAAGATGGAGTAGTGTTTGCTTTATTCATAAATAAGCTGATATATCCCGATCAACATTCCAAATGCTTGATATCTTCAGCAAAGTTTTATGCTATATTGAATTTACTAAACAGTTATTATCTGGAACTTGGCATGCTAAGCATTATGAATTTAGAAGATTCAAAACAGTTAAACTGCTTATCTTAACAAGTTAAGATCTCGTTTGGGACGGCTTTCTTACTGCTTTTAAAACAACGTTTTAGTATAAAAATTAAATTTTTTGTACTATAAAGCTGTTTTAAGAAGCATCAAGAAAGCCGCCCCAAACTAAGCCTAAATATCCAAGCATAAAAACAACCATAGGTGGAACTTTGAATAACAACCACATTTTTTTCCCAGATCTCGGGTGTTTCAACACTCTTTCTCAAACTATTTGTTAGAGATATATAATCTGTAGTTTGCCGAGAATATTTTTGAATGCAGTATTGCAAAGCCCTTGAGTGAATATATCATAGTCACTATCTATTGGAACAAAATGAGTGTAAATCTTCTGAGATTCCAATCTTTTTATAAACTGTCTATCCATTTCTGCATATTTAGTTCAGTCATGCTGTTCTACTTGTTATCATATTATAGTGTTGTATGTCCCTCCCATTTAATCTTCAGATCTTTAAATATAGTTTTAACCCAAAGTAGTTCATAGATCCCATTGGCAATTGCTTTAAACTCATATTCTGCACTTGATCTTGAGACTATTGGTTTTTTTTTAAGATTGTGCATGTATGATTTTCTTGATTTTGTCTATATCCCATCCCACACAGATTTTGTTAATTTTCCAAACAATGCTCTTGGAGATTGTTTCAATTCATATAGTTCCTTTTTTAGTTTGCATGCTTGATTTTTTGAAAATGAGTTTTTTAATGTTAGTGGGGAATCTTTGAGAACATCTTATATATCACCATGCCAAAAGGCATTATTTACATCATATTATTGCAAGAATCATCTAATATTAATGACCAAGGAGATTAAGATATAAATTGTATTCAATTTTTGTGATTGAAGCAAAATTTTCCTGGTGCTCAACTCCATAGGATTGGATATGTCCTGTTGTTATTAACTTGATTTTATATTTTTATATACTTCAATATGCACATCCTATAATAAATTTTCATTAAAATAACTCAATCATCTCATATGTGTGGATTTTTTATAGGGTGTTCATCTATTTTCTCATAGCTTCCATCCAATTCTTATTTTCTTATGCTTCAAATAAAATTTGTGGAATTTTGATGGTATTAATGTTTATAAGGAGGCTTTATGAATATGAGATGAGTTTTCGATGGATGCATATTGAGATATGGGGTATAGGGAATTTTATCAAAATTTTATATAACAATAGTTTGACCATGATTATTGTTAGGAGAGGTAGGAAGGTTACTAGACACTGGTTTCGAGGCTTGGAATTGCAAGAGAATTTGGATAGGCTTTGTCCTGCTTGTATAGATCTGAAGTGGTTTAGTAAATGGATAGTTGATCTTAGTGGGATATGCATATTAATTGTTTAATAGTAAAAGGAAAAATATTGAGTTTGCTAGACTTATCTTCTGCATGATTGTTCTCCCCATGAAGATAATTCTAATTAAAGAATGAATGTTTTATTAAATGTGATATCTTTTGATATAAGAAAAATTTTGGCCGTTGGATGATTGAATTTATGCCCCATTTGAGCACGCGAATATCCTAAGAAGACACACGTAAGTGCTTTATGATCCAATTTATATTGTTGTTGTTTAAGAATATGTACATAAGATACATCCAAATATTTTAGGAGCAAGTCTTGCGAATAATTATTCCTAGGAAAACATTCAGTGAGGCAGATGGCTTCTCCCAGATATCCTTTGGGATTCTAATTTTGAAAGATAATAGTCTTGGTAAGCCCAGGAAGGTGTCTATTTTTCTTCTTTCATCCATCCCGTTTTGTTAGGCATTGGGACATTAGAATTGATGAATAAAGAGGGTTGAGGTTTGGTTTAAATAATATTGGGCATTATAAATATTGAATTTTTTAATGTTTGCTACAAATTGATTTTTTATCATAGCAAAAAAATTGTGAGAATATGATTGATATCATATTTTTATTTGATAAGATAAACACATGCCATTCAAAGTGTAATAATCAATAAGTGTTATAAATACTTTAGCTACAGGGATGGTAGGGATTTTCGAAGGTTCTCAGATATTTGATTAGATTAATATATATAAAATAAGTAGATGATCGAGATTCACTCAAAATAAAAGATGCTCTATAATGTTTAGCAATTTCACAGGTTTCATATTATTGTCAACATTTTTAATTAGGAGGGAAACATACATTTGAGAATTTTAGAAGGCAGATGTCCTAATTTATAATGATGATTCCAAATAGTATCTTCACTAGAAACAAACATAAAGAAAAGAGATGAATGATTGTTACAATTATTATTGTCTTCAAGTATGTATAACCCATCATTTTCTCTAGCTCGATGTGGGCTCCCACTAATAGAAACTTGGTGTTTGTCATTTAATTTGCTTCCTCGACTAGTGCATAATCAAATTTAATGCAATCCATATTCAAACTGAATCCTTCTTTATCAAATTTAAGATTCGAGCTGGTTATAGGGGTCAACACTCGATCAATCTTCTTGCCATAGTTAGGTCTTGAAAAATACAATTATCAGTAAAGAATATGGCCTCAGAGTTTTGATCCTGGGTTATTTTATGAATAAATAAAAGTTTTACTGTTAGATGAGAGACAAGTAAAAGATTGTTAAAAGTAAGTGAAAGGAAAAATGAGAATATTTCCTTGTAATTCAATAGTAGTTAAGGAGCCACTGACTAATTTGATTTTTCAATTGTTAGGATAGGGTTGGTATGTTTGAAAGATGTTGGTCGAATCTGACATGTGATTAATGGCATCTAAGTTAATTACCCGTGTATTATGAGATTATTTAAGGCCTTAAAAGTAAAAAACCTTAAAAGTTTAACTTTTTTGAGCTAGAGATCATGAAGTTGATAATTTTTTAAAGAGTTGAGAAGTTTCCTTAACCTGTCAATTTCTCATGAATTCAGTTCTCGAGTATCTGTGAAATGGGCATGTCATTTTGATTGACTTTCTTTATATCCGTCATATGAGGTCTCCCATAGAATATCAAGTACAACTGATAGTTTGTGTTTTCACGCTGCTGTTTGCATGCTGCATGATACTCCCGATTATAATTAATTACTTTATAATGAATAATTTTTTGTACCGTTGCCATTCCACTTTGTATGATCATGTTAAGTAACAGCCTTTTTTGACATTTGAGAGGCTGACTTCACTCTTCTTTTTTATTGTAGCATATATCTCATTTATGTAATATGGTTGTAGGTGGAAGAACTTATTCATAGGAAGAATCTCAAAGAGGCATTTAACAAGGAAGTGGAAGAATTTGTCAAATTACTTGTTTCAGCGAAGGCTTCACCTCCTTGCAGTAAACCTTCTAAATGTTCATGGTTGAAGGAAGAGAAGTGCAGACAATGGATGGTTTCTCTTGAAGCTTATGCTATTGATGCGTGCAAAAATGATGAACAGAAGAAAACTGCTGGAAATGTGAGCAATCTGGCTTCACTATGCTTTTCAGTGCTTGCTCTCTGTCATGAAGGCATAACAAAGTAACAGACTAGGAGTGTTCTTGTTAGTAAACTTTTTTAAGAAAACAGGTTAATAATTTATTTTAACTAAAAACACAGTAAATAATAAAGTTGAAGGAGACATTAGTTGCCTTTTTGAGGGCATTCTAGGGTTGCCAAACTCTTTTTTATTTTTTGTTTTAAAAATTCTGCCCAAAGCTAAAATTGCCACAAGTATTGATGTCTTTTTTCCTTTCTGGTGTTGGGATCAGTGCTGTCATTTCATTGCTTCTATTCACTTTTTACATCAAATTCTATTGATGAAATTAAATAATTAATCGCCATTTGAAGTCCTATGATCAATGAAGATATTGACATTTGTTTTTCATTTCAGAGTTATGTTAAAAATTTATTTTAACTTGGAATATTTGAGCATCCCTCATTAATTAAAAAAATATTAAATAAGGAACAACTTACTCTTGCCCCATTTGTGTTGATGTGTGTCCTAGTCATTTGTGACTCTAATTTTTGAATAAAATATATCAAACATTAGTTTAGGATGTCAAATTTACTAATCTTTTGTATCATCATATTTTGACTTAATTTACTCTATTTTGATTGGGTGCTATGGAGATAGATTCTCAAGGGAATGGGACTATCAAAGACTTCATCTAATGCGGTGAACCTTCTTATAGATGTTGGCTATTTCCCAGTTCATGTTAATCTCGATCTCTTGAAGTTCAATATCAGTACTGAACAACGTGAGGAAGTATTATTGGCTGCTGAAAACCTTTTAACAACTTCTACTGACGTTGATGAGGTAGAATTGTAACTTTATATGTGTTTGCCTTTTGAATCTTTTTAATCCACCTTTTTCTTTTCCACTTTACATTGATGTTTTGTTATTAATTTCAGGGTATCAGAAAAGATCTTTCATCCTTGAAAGTGTATGCAATTGATGTTGATGAAGCTGATGAGGTAAGGATGCATCTAAGCATTCTATGATACTTGAATAAGCTTAGAAATTGTTTTAAAAAAATGCTCCCTTGTGGCTTCTTTCTATAGTAATAATTGTATTGGTGGTGATCCAGCTTGATGATGCACTGAGCGCTGTGAAGCTACCAGATGGTAAGATTAAGGTCTGGATACATGTTGCAGATCCTGCTTGTTTGGTTGAACCTAGGAGCATAATTGACAGGTTCAACTGTTGTTAATAAGCTTTATAAAGATAAATTTGAGTGAACAGAGATGATTTAGCATTTTATTACTTTTCAGGGAGGCAATGCGCAGAGGAACCTCTATTTTTTTGCCCACTGCCACATTTCCAATGTTCCCTGAAAAGCTTGCCATGGAAGGTATGAGTTTGCTGCAAGGGAAGCTTTGCAAAGCTGTCAGTGTGTCTGTAACCCTGCATGAAGATGGAAGGTATGTTTTACATCTGATATTTGATGTGTTGGATTGTTTATGATGAAAGTATTTATGGAAAGACCGATATTTATATTAAAACCTATAAAACCCTAATCAATAATTGCTTTACAGTATTGCAGAGTACACAATATGTAACTCCATCATAAGGCCAACCTACATGTTGACCTATGAGAGTGCGTCAGAGTTACTTCATTTGGGCTTGGAAGAGGAGGCTGAACTGAGAATTTTATCTGAGGCAGCTTCCCTCCGTTTACAATGGCGTCGGAACCAGGTTATGTTCTTAACCATGAAGATCAGTTTGCATGTTTTAAGTCTTCATTTGAATGAGAATGCTGATTGCATGCACTTTTCCTTGAGCAAATGCTATTTTCAACATCCCAAATTTGATATTTTTGTTGAGTGTTGGTTTTTTGTTCTTTACTTGGTTCAGGCTATAACTTTAAGACAGGACATTTACCATTTTCATTTTGGAACTGTTGGCTACATTATCTGAACTTAATATGGAATGAATGATTTTAAAGCCCTAAGTCAAATGTGTAAATAATATAAAAAATGGGCATTTGCATGTTTATATATCCATGCATGCGTATGAGAAGACCATGCATAATGTTAATACCTAGTCTCGCTGGTACTTGATCAAGCTGTTTAAAGCTTAACACTAATTTTTTGATCTCCTTGTAAGTAGATAGTATATAATTGGTAGACATATTCTCCCTTAAACGTATCACTACTTATTGAATAAATACATATCAATTTAGTTAAATTAGACCTTCAACTTATCACTATTATTAACTGTTAACATGTATGTAGCATCGACCAGGATATTTTGTTTTATAGTTCATATTAGACCTTCAAAGCATACAACAATGAAAATCCACTAGTAAAGGCACAAAGCCGACAACAAACCCGATCCTCTGTTAGCAATTAGATATAATCGATAAGGTTTAACAGATAATCACAAAATACCCCCTAAATACCGTTTGGGCCCCGACGAGAGTTTTACGGATATACACGTGACGTCTGAGGAAGTTGCGTGGGTCAAAATGATAAATTTAAGTTTGAGCCTGATCCTCCATCAACAATTAGACAGTCGATAAGGTTGAACATGTAATTATAAAAATACCCCCTAAATACCCGCAAGAGCCCCAAAGAGCGTGTCATATTTACATACGTGACATCTGAGCATGTTGCGCAGGTCAAAAAATGAACTTAAGTTCAAGTCTAATATTTCTCCTTGATAGAATAGGAGTCGACACGACTTGAACCAATGAAAAAATATATGGTCGTGGGATCGACCGGGACATTTGTTTTATACGTTTATATTAGGCCTTCAAGGCTTATGAACAAGAAAAATTCATTAGTAAAGGCATAAAGCCTATGATGAACCTAATCCTCTATTGGCCAACAAACAGAGTTGACATGGTTCAATCAATAAAATACAATTACCCATGAATACTCCAATGATGGCCGTGCTGAACGTAGATAGATCTCAACCAAAGGAGTTAATTCCAAATATTTTATATATTTCCTAAATACCCTTGAAAGATCAAAATTCTAAAAATTCTAAAATTTCAAAATTTAAAACATTTAAAATCAAAATTCAACCATCAAACACTTAAAATAAAAACTATCAACCCTTTGCAACAGTTTGTTGAGATGGACAAATTTAAATATCACTTTAACTCATAAAGAACTGATGTATGGTCGAGAATATCACTATAATTCATTCTCAAACAGTCTCTTACAAGCAAGGATGTGACACGTGTCCTCTAACAGACGGTTTTGCCACCAAATGACACTGCAAGTAAACGGTTATGACCGGGACCCTCTGAACCGGGTGGTTTGCCGCTAAATGACACCACTAAATTACGGTCATGACCAGATCTCGTAAGCTCCCCAATGGCATTAAATCTTTTAGATATGAATCAATAAGGTATAATTGATAGGACACAAAGCCCTCTGTTAGCTAAGGTTGATTCATATTTATCCCCTTAGACAAATACTTACCCTAGCTCTACAAGGTATTCTTGGACGACACAACCTATGACTGTCGATAATGATTTTTCTGTCAGGTTGGGTCGACTACCTCCTCTAACTAAGTAGACCCGGGGACCGTGATCACCCGGGATGACGGAATCAGGGGATCTCGATCGGGTTCGCCATCACTTCCCACCATCCACTTTAAGTGCAGGATAGTGAAATTTCTAATTTTAAATATCAAATTTTCAAATATCAAATTCATGCTTCTACTATATGACAGATAACACGTGTTTCTACGTTTTTGATTGACGACTAGCCTTAATCGAAAGTTATCTCTCGCTATTGGGAGGGATAATTAACTATAGGGGCTTGCACCTATTGGAAACTAAAACTCAGATCTGAAGTCCTCGCAAAATGAGGGCGAAATCTCTTGGTAGTGTCTTATTTCAAACCTAATATGCCTTCTGAAAATTTACTTTGGAATTTAATCCGTTAAAACTCTCCCAAAAGCAGATGAGGCCTGGGCGTGAATTTTCGGAGCCCACAAAATGCTTTCCATTGTCATAGAAACCATCATCATAGGGTAATATTTTACATTGTTACTAAAAAGGGTTACTAAATCAATGCCATTTCCCTTGACTTGCATGTCAAATGAATAAGGACTTTTAAATTTGCTTCATGTTCATCATAGCACGTTCATAAAAATTAAGCCATAAAAATGTTAAAACATGCAACTGGGTTGTGTTTGGTTTGAAAATGAGTTGAAAATTTTAACCTGCTAATGGCATATAGTGAATGTCTCATGTTTAAAGCTGGGCTTAGCTCTGTATTTCTTGTTTTTCTCATTTTCTTTAAGCACATAGTAGCCAAAAATGACAAGTGCAATCTATAAAATATCATATATCTCCTGAGTGATGTCTAATGATTAACACATCAGAAAAGTCTTTTATGTTAGAAGGATATAATGCATTGTATTGTAAGTTCAAAGTTCTCTCTCTATCCATTTATTGTAACTTTATATGCTCAACTGATTACTTATATAGCCCGACCTATCTATGGAAAGCTAACGTCTGTATGCATATAAGCTTGTATAGGCCACTTTTAACCAGAAAAAAAAAAAGAACAAAAAAAGAAGGTTATATTTATTGAGGCACAAATGCTTTGTTTTCTGTTTTCTCCTTCGTCCTTCTCTATGTAATAACCTATGCTTCCTTAGCAGATTATCTCAATCGCTTCTCTAAGTGATATTGGTTAAAGGCTCTCTCAGTTGAAAATAAGTGCTCGTTGTTCAATATTTTTAATAAGAAGCAAAAAATTTAACTTTCAGGGGGCAATAGATACAACCATGATTGAGCCACGTGTCAAAGTAGCCAATCCTGATGATCCTGAACCCTTGATCAACCTATATGTTGAAGACCAATCAGACCCTGCAATGCGGCTTGTTTCAGAAATGATGATACTTTGTGGAGAGGTTGTAGCTACCTTTGGTTCTGCCCACAATATTCCATTGCCTTACAGAGGTCAGCCTCAGTCAAGCATCTCGCCATTCGCATTTGCCCATCTTCCAGAAGGACCAGTAAGGAGCTCTGCTTATGTCAGAATAATGCGTGCTGCTGAAATGGATTTTAAACAGCCTATTCGCCATGGTATTTTGGGTATTCCTGGCTATGTACAGTTTACATCTCCAATTAGAAGATACATTGATCTTCTAGCCCACTATCAGGTATTTTTTTTACATGATAATGATGTTGTTGCTTTTCTTTCTACTTCTAAGCCGACGCCTTGTGTTGGTTTTCTTATTTGCGCATATGATTAATTGGAATCCTCATGCGAACGTATAAAAAATTGGAAGTATTAAAATTGTTATCATATCTAATTTATCACACGTGCTAATCATTTATAGTAGCACTCTACATTATTTATGATTATTTTATTTCCGCATTTGTTGACCCGTTTATGAAACAAAAAAAAAAAAAAAATGAAATCTCACCTGCTCTCTGCTGAAGCATGTCGCATGTCCGCGACCTCCTCCCACGTCGCACAACTCGCTCGCGTCGATCAGAGGGGAATGGAGCGAGGCCTTCGGCCTCTTCTCTGGCTCCCGTGCTCTCTCTTTCTCACTTCCGCTCTCTCTCGAACTCTCTCCCTTCCCGTGGCTTCTTCGGCTCCTTCGTGCTGTTCGACTGTGCTCCGACGACGACGTGCCCTTCAAGTCGAATTGGAGGTTACGACACTTTGAGCGGAAGCAACGTCGCTCCTTAGGCTCCTTAGGCGCTGTCCGACTCCGCTCCTGGAATGACTTTCCCTACCTACTGAATCAGAAGTTACGACGCTTTGGTCGGAACCGGCAAGGAAGCTCTTTTCTTCTCCCGCTCCTTCCTAGCTGCTCGACTTCGTGACTTCAACGACTTCCCCTCCCGATCGGACTGGAAGTTACGACATTTTAATCGGAAGAAGAGACGGGAGCTCGGTCGCTTTGAAGGCAACTTTCTCCCTTTCGCCTTGCTTCTTCGGCTTCCTCGGAGCTGTTCGACTTCGCAACTCCATGACTTTCCCTTCCAGCCGGATCGGGAGCCAAAACATTTTGATCGGAAGCAACTACGGGAACTCGCAGTCTGAGAAGGTAACTTTCTCCCCTTCGAGCGCTTCTTCGATCAAATCCAACAAAATTGGATTTTAATTAATTGTAATAATTATTAATTATCTTTAATTATTATTTAGTTATAATTATAATTAATTAATTTATTATAATTAATTAATAAGTAGTAATTAATTATCAATTATAATTATTTAGTTAATTATAATTAATTTTGATTAATTATAATTAGTCACTAATTAATTATAATTACAATTAATTTACTAATTATACTTAATTATAATTAATAATTAATTATAAATTGTATATAATTAATTATTATTATAATTAATATTAATTAGAATTAATAAAAAAAAGATATGCTCGCCTCTTCTTGCCTCGGTCCACGAGCCTCCACTGCCGACAACCCCGCGAAGATACGAATTTTCCTAAACTCAGATTCTCGCTCTCGAAGTTTGCGGCGGACCGGAAAACCGCTTATACACGCCTTTATTGTATGTGCTGGGATGGGACCCCAGTCTGACGCCTACGACGAGGTGGGTAATCACCTAAACTCTACTTCGGCGTTCGTGGCGCACCAGAAAATCGCCTATACACGCCTTTATTGCGCGTGGTAGGATGATACCCCGGTGCGACGCCTACGGCGAGGCGGGGTCACTCATAAGTACCCTCGTGCGAGGGGAAAGCAAACTGTCGTTTTAAATAGGTACCAATGGCCCCATAAACGCCTTTATTGCGCGTGGTGGGAAGAAAGATTACGGCCGCGATGTCCTCGTCCGAGGAAACCTACCATACACGCCTTTATTGCGCGTGGTGGGAAGGCTCAGTTTCTCGTAGTTTTCCCCTAAACGGGGGAGACTCCGAGAGGTTGCCGAAATTTCGGGTGAATATTCGACCGCACTCGGACCTGGTTTGAACTCAAGAGAACAAGAACTTGGACTCAAATGAGAATGAATAGTGGACTTGTGGACCTAAACCTGAACAAAATCTAAACGATTAATCAAGGCTCAAACCCAAATAAAATAAAATCAAGCTGGAACCAAAATTCAAATCAATTTGAGTATTCAGTTGAACTTGCAAATGAGCTACGAAGAACTTAATGTGGACCACAAAGAGCTGGACTTGAATGAATATGTGCTCTGAAGAAATTGAATTGAAATGGAGCATATAGAACCAAACTTTGGATCGATGAATGAACAATTAAGATCTAAGCAAATCTTAATCATTCAATTGTATCCAAATAAACACCATACAAGCAAATGTCAATCATGCTAACAGATGCACAAGGACTTGTGGGCTTCGAAGTAATTTGCTTGAAATGATTGCGTTCAAATAAACTTCATACAAGCAATACAACTCAAAGTGAACACAAGGACTTGCCATAGAAAGATCTGTTTGATCAAATAGACAACTGAAGTAAGCGAGTAGGGATGAAGAAATACAATGACATCTCCGTCACCAATAATGATCCAACTTCGAGAAAGTACAAAAGGCAAATGAGTACAATACATAGTGATATGACAAGTTAATGATCAAGATTTGCTGAACAAGTCTTAAACAAATATAGTTGCAAGTGCTAATGTCATTTGACCTCAATGCATACAAACAAAGAATATAGTGGACTCTAATAACAGTCTTTATGAGATCAGGTGCATCGTATCTGCGAGAACAACAAATGGTTGCAGAATGCATGGGTGTCCCCTATCTGCATCATTGAAACCTCCAAAACTAGAAAAAATGCCTTAGATTGAGATGACAATACTACCACCTGATAGCGGAAAACCTGTCCCTACAAACAAGAGAAATCATCAAACCACCTGAGATTGGTGAAAGGTGGATATGATGTAGGAACAATGGTTCTTCTACGAACACTTCTAGGAGGTCGTAGTGGATATAATGGGTCCTTTGCAAATGAACACGAGCTACTTGTGGATAACAACAGCAGGTATATCGTAGGCATAGCGAACCACTGTGGACACAATTACAGATATCACCCACAACAGCGGTGATTGAGATGCTGCAAAGTATGTCGGGTATGAAGATAACTCGATATACGAAAAAGAACACCTCATGGCAGAATGGAAGAGATGTTTGAGCAAATTCAAACTAAACTTCCTGGTGTTCCAAAATTTCTTATGGGTCATATACTTAGGAAGAAAATAATCTTGGTATCCACAATCATCGGAAATAATAAGTCCACTGCACTAAAGATCCTAAAAGGAGTTCTTTCCAAAGCTGCGGTCATTGATTTCAAAGTCCAGAAGAACCTCCTTGGTGAATGAGAAAAGTTGAGTCAACATCAAGATGATGAGATGCCTTATGACATCCAGATAATATCGTCACCAGATTTGCAACATTCATGCAAGCGGACAGGATGCGTTTCACAAATATTCCAAGAATGCCCGTGTACATGCACTATAGTTTGTATACATAGGTACACAAAAAGGGCAAGTGCAATCATTCACCCGCATGGGCCCCGACGAGCGTGTTATTAGTATGCACGTGACATCTATGGATGCTGTGTGGGTCAATAAATTTGAACTTAATCCTCCTAAGCAACATTCATGCAAGCGGACAGGATGCGTTTCACAAATATTCCAAGAATGCCCGTGTACATGCACTATAGTTTGTATACATAGGTACACAAAAAGGGCAAGTGCAATCATTCACCCGCATGGGCCCCGACGAGCGTGTTATTAGTATGCACGTGACATCTATGGATGCTGTGTGGGTCAATAAATTTGAACTTGATCCTCCTAAGCAGGTAAATAGGAGTCGACAAGGTTTAACAAATAATTTCAAAATGCCCCCAAACACCCACATTGGCCCCGGTGAACATGTTGTAGAAGTACATGTGACGTTTAGGGATGCTGTGCGGGTCAATAAATTTGAACCCGATCCTCCTAAGCGAATAAATAGGAGTTGAAAAAGGTCAATAAATAATTATAAAATGCCCCCAAACGCCCACATGGGCCCCGGCGAGCATATTATGGGTACACACGTGACGTCTAATGATGCTGCGCGGGTCAATAAGTGAATTCAAGTTCGAACTTAATCATTATATACGAATCAATAGAAGTCGACGGGGTTCGAACCATTAAGCAAACATACAGTTGTGGTGACCGGTATATTTGTTTTATATATATTAGACCTTCAAGGCCTATACTCAGGAGAATTCACTAATAAATGTATAAAGCCTCGAAACCTGATCCTCGGTCAAAAGCTTGGCCGAGTCGACAAGGTTTAATCAACAAAGGAAATACCCCTTTCGCCCCGATGATGGTCGCGTTGAACGTAGATTTCAACCGGAGGGGTGATTCAAAATACTTTCAAACTATATTGCACCGATACACCTATTTATGAAGGCGTGCTGTATCTGATACACCGATACACGGATACGCCTCCGATACTCCACCGATACGTGTCGGATACGCCAAAGCTGTATCCAATTAAATACTATTTAATTTCAAAAGGACACGTGTATCCGATACGCGTGTCCGTTGAAAAACAAAAAGAAATCCGAAAAAAAAAGACGTGTCGTATTTACTTCCGCGGTTGCGAGCAAGATTCTCTCATTTCCGAGATGGATTTGAGTCTCTTGATGATATGAAAATATTAAAAATTACTAATCTTTCACTTGATGAGCCTGAATTAGAAGCTATGATATTTATTGAAAATGATATAAAAGTTCAAAGACAAACCAATGAAGAAGATAATTATATCATTCCTTCTATTGAATAGTTGAAACTTCATGTGCTAGATAATTTATGTTTATGCTTTTGTTGTTGTACTAGACATTTAATGCTTACTTAAAATTTGATATTATAAGCTAAAAGGTTACTTTTATTTTGATATTATAAGCTACAAGGCTACAAATGATGTTGTTGTCATTTTTTTTTGTAATTTCAAATATTATGCTTTAATTGCTTTCTTAATTTTTATGTATGATTTATAAATTATAATGCCGTATCCGCGCCGTACCCATATCCTATATTTTTAAGAATTGACGTGTCCCGTATCCGTATCGTGTCGTATCCGTGTCGTCGTATCCGTATTGGTGCAACATAGCTTTCAAATGACTCCCAAGAGTCCATTCAAAATCCAAAACTCCACAAATTCTAAAATCC